AGAGTAGGGGAAATGAGATTGGAATTGCAGCTTGTCGGACTCCAGGTTTTGGGCACAGTCCATTGAGATTTTAAGTCTTTGTCCATTGTCCAGTTAGGCATGCTCCCGGCTGCAAGTACCTGCTTTAAATACCTGCAGGCTTATTTTCCTTAAAGACCAAAGAGATCACTGGTAGGTGGTCTCCAGGTTAGGGAAGCAGCATCATGATGTCACGGACCCACCTCCCACCCCCGTCTGTCACTCTGGGGACTCTGCCATCTTTGAGTCTGCCTTTTGACCTGCTGTTGCTTCCTAGTAACAAGAGGCCAAATAGGTATTTATTGAGCACTTATTGTGTACCAGCCTCCAGGCTGGATCTGTTAAAGATGAACTGAAACCAAGAGCAAAGTCATGACTTATTTGGGTCCCTGCACCAGTTGGTGGCAGAGAGGGGCCTGGGATGGGAGATGGAGGAGGGATTCTGACCCCCAACTCAAGGCCAGTTTCCAGCTTGGAATGATGTGACAGGTGACAGGGAGGGACTTCTGTTCTCACTGACTGAGGTGGTATGGCCCCAGGTGGGCACCAAAAGTTGGTTGGCCTCCTGGTGACAACAGTCATCAGGGCAGTGTCAGATCCTCCAGGCCCATTAGACAGTGTCCTTTTCCCACTTCCCCATGCTCCCCAAAATATCATCAAACCTAGAGTCACACGGTATCTGTCTGAGTGCACCTAGGTCTTCTGTATCTTCTTCAGTCCCTCAACAAACACAAAGGGCCTCTCAAGATCAGCCTGAGTGCTGCAGGGGGTACAGGGGCAGGGGAACAACTCTCTGGCATTCATAGGAACCCCTGAATCAGTTCACTGTAGGGGTTCAGGGAAAGCATCTAAGCTGGGACCTGAAGGAGGAGTAGAAAGGAACTGGGAAAGACTTGGAAGCCCCCAACTTCCTGAGCAGAGGGAGAGCACGTGCAACAGCCCAGAGGTGAGGCCAGAGGATCTTCACTCGGGCTAGAGGGGAAGGGGCCCAGTGAAGAAGGGGATCGTGTTAACCATGAGAGCAAGGTGGAACCTCTCCGTGAGGCACCAGGGAGCCATGGAAGGGTTTTGAGCAGGGGAGGAACAGGGTCAAATGGAAATTTGAGAGCACTTTCTGGGACTGCTGCGTGGGAGAGGCATTGCAGCAGGCAAGAGGGAAGGCAGGACTGACTCTGGGTCCATCCTAGGTACTCAGGGGCCAGGTAGGCATGTGGGGAGGAGGAGGGACTCCACTGTGTCTATAGAGAAAGATGACAGTAACCCCAACACAGGAGCCTCTTCTTCCAGGCACCCTTTTTGCCCCCACAAAAAAAGAGGTGAAACAGAGTAGAGACTGACCCAAGTCACATAAACGTTGGTTGATGGCCAAGTCTCAATTCTATGGCAGTCATGGTGGCCCCGAGGGGAAATTGTCAGAGCGGCCAGCTCCCTTTCCCCAGAGTCCTCTGGACTATGAGCGGTTTGGCTAAGGGACTTAGACAGGGCCAGGGCCTTGGGATAAGGACCACACTGTCCTCAGTTCACCCTCGGGGCTCCCCTGGGGCCTGGCTGCCCTCTCCACTCCCCACCCTGTTCCCAGACAAAGACCAGGAGGTGCCCAGTGGCTATCAGTCCCCCACAGCCTCCAGGTCCTGTCTGGGGAGACAAGTGGCCTGTCAGAGCTGCCTGCTATAAAGCCGATGGATGGTCCCCGGCTGGCATCTGGACAGTGCGTGGGCTCTGGGGAGAACAGACTAAGACAGACCACAACCCAAGCCCGCCCCCACTGACCGGGAGGGGCCTCAAATTGAGGTCCTTGTACACTTGGCCATCTCCAGGAGGAACGCCTGTGAAATGTGACCCCATGGAAGGGAAGGAGCTGGGCTGGGGGGCCAGGACAGGCATCCTGCCTGGAATGCCAAGCCTGTTACTTAGGCTCCAGGGAGAGCTTTGGGATGGAGCCAACAGGCACGATCAGAGGGCATCGAAGGAGATCGGCAGACAAGGTCAATTTAAACCCTACGCCAGCTCCAGGGAAAAGAGCAGTGGGTAAAAAAGACCCAGAGTACATCCCATCCTTGCTGTGTGACCTTCACGGATCCCGTTGTCTCTCTGGACTCAGTTTGCAGATCTGTACAATGGACTCTCAAGAACTTGGAGATGGTGCAAGTGTGGTGTATGTTTTGCATTACTGTGATGAAAGACCCAAGGCAATCTACTTTATAAAGGAAAATGGCTTATTTTGGCTCAAGTCCTGAAGGTCCACAGCTAAACAGCCTTACCTGGCAATCACGTGGAGAGAGATAGTGGGGCATGAGTGTGTGCATCCACAGCCTCTGGTCTCTCTCTTATAAAGCTGCCAGGATGCAATCAGAGCTCCATCCTGATGACCTTATCTAATCCTAATCCCCTCCCGGTGGCCCCACCATAAACACCTGGTTGGACTGAATGTCCACTCTTAGGATTCACAATGGACGTTAAACGTCAACACACGAACCTTCGGGGGCACTCAGACCAAATCTGCCCTTTCACACTGCTTCTGGAAACTTGGACTTCGTGTAAAGTGGGCAGGTCACAAACAGGAGAGCCAAGTCTTGCATTCATTCTGCTGGCCCAGAGAGCTGGAAATCTCAGAGCTCTGCCCCCAATAGGGGCCCCTTGCCCCCTAATTTTCACTTTGAAAAGTCTCAATCCTGGGCAACAGCTGAGAAACTAGCACACTGAACACCAACACATAGCTCACTTTGTGTTTTAAGAATAAACCATCAGAACATGGTAAATTTAATATCCTCTGTATTTTACCCCCAAAAAGAAGAGGGGAAAATGACAACTGATGCCAGCAAACTACACTAAAAATATTTGGGGGCCGCGGCTGGGGCTCAGTGGTAGCGCACTTGCCTGTGTGTGAGACACACTGGGTTCAATTCTTAGCACCGCATATAAGAAAACGAATTTAAAAACTAGAGGTTCTTCAATAACACACACACACACACACACACTCACTTTAATGTCAAGTTTTGATGGAATGCTGAAGGGACTGTGTGCCTGGCACCACGTGGTACAAACAATGGGCTTTGGACATGTGAAGTTGATTTCCATCTCACTGAGAATCCGTGAGCATAGCACACGTGACAGGTGAGGAAACTGAGGCTCAGAGAAGTGAGGTGGCAGTGCCTCAAGTCAGAGACAATATGAACCTGGGGCCGTGGGACCCCAGAACTTTGACAAGCCTTGGGGTCACCCATCCTGAGCTCCTTCCCAGCTGGGCATCTCTCTGCTGAGGCCAGCAAGGGTGCCCCAGCATCCCCCCAAGCTCTGGCTTCCCTCTGCCCCCTCGGTCCTGGCTGTGCCCCCTCCGCTGCCCCAGGGCCCTCTCTCCTCCCTGCCTTAGGTTTAGAGCGGCCTGATGAAGACCCGGAGACCAGGATTCCAGGCAAGACTCTGCCAATGACCCCGAGTTTATTTTGGACCCAGGTCTCACAAAGTGGCCCTTTCTAATCGGGTGACTTTACTGGAGTGTTGGGGAGGTACCGATGACAGGCCGCGTCCATCCATCGCGCAGGAGTCTCCCCAACCCCGCCCCCCCCCCCCGAGGGCGGGTCTCGGGCTGGGCCGAGGGGCGGGGTCTCCCAGCCCAGTTGGTGGGGGGACAGGCGGGGGACAGGCCGAGCCGAGGCGGGAGCCACACTCGCAGACCAGACGGTGAGGAGCCCTGGCGCCCAGCGAAGCGGGTGAGAACCGGGGCTGGGAACTGGGAGGAACCAGCGGGTGAGGGAGACTCCTGCCCCAGGCCACCGGCCTAGGAGAGTTCCCCAATGGCCCTTCGCAGAGAGGGGACGCTCAGGGTGGCCAGATTTCGCACCTCTCTCCGGGGTCAGTGTGTGGTGAGCAAGGACAGCGGCGCCGAGGGGTGCAGGGGGCAGGACCCAGGAAGCATGAAGCGGGGAGTGGGCATCTCCTGAGCCCCAGCGACAGAGCCCCTACCGTGCCCCAGCCCAGATGAGGCACCAACCGGACTCTTAAAATCCCCGCCCTCCTTGCCGCTGTGGCCTGGGACAGGAGGAGGCAGATGCAATTTAAAAGCAGGGAAAGTGACAATCAATTGGTGCTTTTCAGAGTCCGAAAAAGGGGGGCCCTCAAGTTCTGCGCTGGGGCGCGTTTGATTTCCATGTTACAGACTTTCTCTGGAAGAGAAGAAAGGGTATGAATTGCCCCTGGTAGTGGCTCCAGACTCCCAGAAAGCATGAGGCCAGCTGGCAGGACTGTTTTCTGAGACCCATTTGTGCATGGCCAGGACTGGGGCACAGACCCAGGAGGCTCTTCTCCCCCTGCAGAGCCCCCAACTTGCCAGGAGTGACTCCCGAATCCCCATGATTAGGGTGTGCACATCTTAATACACTGCGGGCTGTCGTGACTCTGCCCCCGGTTCTGGTGGCTGAAGTGACTGAACCTTGATCTTGAAGGAGGTGCTGCTGAGATAGAGAGAGGCAAGTCCAGATTCGGGAAGGGGGTGGGGGATGGACAAAGGTCTGGAGAAAGGTTGCACTTTGGGGAGCAAGGTGAAAGGGGGCTGTGAGGGGATGCCTTGAATGTCAAACTGGGAACCCCAGAGAACACAGGTTCTGAGCTCCCTGCTTCCCCCTGCAGGACCCCTGAGCTGATCCTACCCCTTTCTGGCCAGTGGATGGCTGCTGCCCTCCCCAGCTCACCAGGGCTACAGTTCCCAGCTTCCTTCCTGAGAGGACTCCTGGAGACCATCCCTTTGTGCAAGCAAATGTCATCCCTAGTGGATGGGCCACAGGGGTGGGCTCCATTCCCACTGGTTGGCTTCCAGCCCAGTGGGGTCTGGGGACCAAACAAAGGGCACCCTGACCTGCAAGAGCCAGGGAGTGGCAAGGCAGGGTGCAAAGCTAATTTCATTGTGTGTGTGTTTTCCTTTCTCAGTCCACTTTGGCCAGGTCTGTGATCCCAACTGTCCCTCATCTTTTCCTACTGGAATCAGAATGGCCCTCTGGTGTTACTGCCTCTTCTGTCTTCTGGTATCTGAGCTTCTGTGGGGAGGAGAGTTTGGGGAAGGAGGTCAAAAGGGACGCAAAGCTGTAGGGTTTCACACCATGAAGTCACTATAAAGGTTACACAGGGGCTGGGGTTGTGGCTCAGCAGTACAGCACTCACCTAGCACGTGCGAGGCCCTGGGTTCGGATCCTCAGCACCACATAAAAATACATAAATAAAATAAAGGCATTGTGTCCAACTATACCAAACAAATAAATATATATTTTTTTAAAGTTACACAAGATAAGCTCCGGCACAGAAATAAAATAAAAGCACCCAGTAGGACTGGTGTTGTGGCTCAGTGGTAGAGCACTTGCCTAGCATGTGCGAGGCAATCCCCAAACACACACACACACACACACACACACTAGGTGGCATGCCTCTCACATTCAATCAGCTTGTTTATTCCTGGTAAGGGGGAAAGGCTCAGGGCAGTGAAGTGCCCTGCCCAAGACCAACAGCACAGCCTGCAGCTTCCACTGCTCCCCCTGAAGCACACAGTTCAATAACTGCACACAGGCAATGGGGTAGCTGTTCCAGCTCCCACCTGTCTTCTCTCTCAGATCAGGAGTCTCTCTGGGACCTGTTCCAACTCCCCAGGTGAAACAAGGCGCCCTTGGGTGGCAGGTTGGTAAGAGAGATCACCCCCCTGAAGCCCCTCCCCCAGGAACTGCCCGTGATCCCAGTGGCACTGGCCTGGAACTCCAAGGAAGGGAGGAGAGGGTATTTAGTTCAGACCCCAGTACCAAGAACTGGGCGGAATGCTTCACTCCTGACCATCTCATTCCCGTTGTACAGATTTGGAGAGCCACTGCAGGGAATGACACAGGTCATAGAGCATGGCCTGGGGCCAGGGCAGCCCCATCTGATAGGCCAGCAAGACTCCTGCACCAGTGTCCTTCACCCTACCCATCCCCCAGAGTGTGAGATGCCCACAAAATCCTGTCTCATCCCCTCTGTCCTCTCCCCTTCCAGCTTCGCTGGCCCCTGGTGAGGTGATGGAGATTTCAGATGGGGTGTGCAAGTTTCCAAAGCAGCGGCTGAGCTGGTGGCAAGCCCAAGAGTCTTGTGAGCAGCGGTTTGGCCACCTGCCAACGGGGCCCGCAGATGGGGTTCTTGCTTCGCGGCTTCGTGACCCGGTCTGGTTGGGCCAAAGAGAAACTTCCCTGCGGAGGCCCCCACGGAGGAGTGAGTGTGGACCCAGGGCCCGGGGGAGGGGAAGAGAGCTTTGGTGACATTCAGAGATAGGAGCTCAAGGTGACGATACTTGTGAAATGAACTTGGAGCAACACCCCGCTACATCTCCATATGTCCTCGCTGTGGACTGAAGTAGCGGTTGACCCAGGCTGGGGAGTTAGAAGCCCCGTTTCTTTCTTCCGGCGGCAGGGATGCACCCCAGATCTCATGAAGGGCCCCGCAGCTGGGGGATGCAGGACCCTGTGGGCAGCTGGGAAACTGAGGTCGCGGCCCTCATGTCCCCCCTCTCAAGGCGAGCGCACCACCCTGGCGCTGGTGTTCGGCGAGAAGACGGCGGACAGGGCGGCGCGGCTGCGGACGCCCTTGCCAGCTCTGGAGGCGCTGACGGCGTGCGCGCACTTGCAGTGGGACAGCCGCTCGCCCGAAGTGGCCGCGATCTTCTCCCTCGCCGCCCCCGCGCTGGCCAACGCGCTGCAGCTGCGGGCCTTCGCCGAGCCGGGCGGCGCGGTGCGGGCGGCGCTGGTGGTACGCGGGCACCACGCTCCCTTTCTCGCAGCCTTTCGCGCCGACGGCCGCTGGCACCACGTGTGCGCGACATGGGAGCAGCGCGGGGGGGCGCTGGGCGCTGTTTGCTGACGGGCGGCGGCGCGCCACGGCGCGGGGACTGGGCGCGGACCAGCCGGTGCCGCCCGGTGGCATCCTGGTGCTGGGCCAGGATCAGGACTCCCCGGGCGGCGGCTTCTCGGCGCGCGACGCCTTCAGCGGCAACCTCACCGACTTCCACCTGTGGGCCCGGGTGCTGAGCCCCGCGCAGCTGCACCGCGCACGCGCCTGCGACCCGCCTCCAGACGGCCTGCTCTTCGTCTGGGACCCCGGCTCCCTGGACATCACACCCTCACTGCAGCAGCCGGTTCCGACGCGCCTTCCGTGTCCGGGTGCGCACGGCCGCCCCTGGCTGCCAGGCCCCGCCCTTTCTGCTGGCTCAACCCCCCGCCCCCTGGTTGGTTCTGGGCCCGCCCCCTAACTCAGCGACCTTCTGATTGCATGACCCAGCTCACCCTCTGCCAACCCCGCCCTGGCTCAACTCTGGCCACGCCCTTATGCACCCTTGGACAGCCGCAGAGTCCCAGTAGCCTGATTGCGTGGGTTCACCTGGCGACTCACGTCGCCCCCTAACCCCAGAGCAGTGCGCCCTGGTTCCAGGTCAGGTGTGCAGGCACCTTCGAGGCCGGCACCTGTGGGTGGGTCACAGACTATAGGAAGCTAGGATATGGTTTTGACACCTCCCCTACTCTGGCCAGTGCCCTCAGAAGAGTGCCCCATGTGGAACCCAGAACCCCCCACCGAGGGCTCCGAGTTCTGCTTGCAGCCGCTGCTCTTCCTCTGCTGCTACCAGAAAGGTGCGCCCTAGCTATGCCCCTGGGTTCTCATGAAGCTAGTGGGAACAGGAGGAGCCAGTGACCAGAAGAGTGTAGGATTCTTTGAGTTTCAGGGCCTCCTCGTAGTCTAGACTACAGGGCAGCGGGATCAGACAGACCTGGGGGTGAATCCCAGTTGTGTGACCTTAGGCAAATGATTTTTGCCATTCTGGGCCTCAGTTTCCCTATCTAGCACACGGTGTGTGAAGCTTCAGACACACAGCTGTGGATCTCCTCTTCCCCCCCTGGGTGGGGGTTATTGAGCAGCTGGCACCTCTGGGCAGGGGAGTTGCCCAAGGCCCAGTCTGGCATCTGCCTGTTTGCAGAGACCTATCAGCAGCTGCAGGATGTCCGGTTGTGGCCAGGACAGGATGTTATCAGCAAAGTCAATGCTTTGGCCAACGCCATTGTGGTGAGCTTCTCCTAAGGAGGTTGGAGAGCCTGTGGGCACTGTGGGTCACCTCGCATTTCAATTGCCTCACCTGTAAGGGGACACCCACTGTTCTTCAGAATTAAGGCTCCTCACGCTCCCTATTTTATAGCCTTGAGAACTTATGACAAGTTAGAACTGCACCCTCCAAAAAGACCCTGGAAAAGCCCAAGTGTGGCCCCTAGGGGATCCCTTGTGACAGCCAGACAGGCAGTAACTGGCTTCTCTAACCACAGCTCCTCCCAGACCCCCTCTCTGAAGCCCCTGAGGCCCTGACCCTGGACAAGGCCTCCAGGTTCCTGGGCCTTCTGGACAGAGTCCTGGTGGAGGAGACCACTCCACTGGGGCCGGCTGCACTTCTGGCTACCCTGCACTTCCTGAAGAGGGTGACCGCCCTTGGGGCTGGGGAGCCAGAGCCCTTGACAGGGCCCTGGGAACAGCTGGGCAGGGGTGTCGTGTCTGTGGCCAGCCGGATCCTGGAGAAGCAGGTGGCTGGAGCGTGGCTGTCCCTCAGTGAGGTGAGGCTGCAGGGCTGGCCAGGGGCCTGGGCTCTGGTTCTGCCCTTGCTAGCAGGTTGTTGTGTAGTCTTAGGCTCAAGTGGGCACCCAGTTTTAGGCTCCATCTCCCCATCCCTTGGGAGAAGCTCCTCTTTTTCATCTACTTTATAAGCTGAACTTCCACTTGAACAACAGTGTCTGTATTTTAAAATGATTAAGAGCCACTAGTCAATAAGGGCCTTCCCCATATCCAAGAATCTGCTTACCGCCACAAGTGGCAGGTCCTCTATGCTGAGTGGTCCGACCATCTTGTCTGCCAAAACAGCAAACACTCTGGAGAACAGGAAAGATTCCATCTGGTTGGAGAGGCGGATGGACACCTCATCCTGGCAAAAATGGCCATAGGCCTAGGAGTGATTGACCCAGAGAAGGGAGGAAACAAGAGCTCATGGACATTGCCTGCCAATCTCTGGGGCTAAAGGAGCACATGTGGTCCCCCTGTGGCCTCAGAGGATGGAATTAGGACCAAGGTGTGGGGTTAGGGTGGAAATGGCATGACCCAGGAGGCTGGCTCCATAGAATGAGTCACCTGGACCTATAATGAGCCCCCCATTCGGGGAAGCATTCAAGCCCACCTTGATTAGGGGTTGGAGGCACTGAGGTAGATGGAGAAGAGACAGAGCCTGGAAAATGGGGGTCTTCACTCCTGTCTTGCTCAGGCAGTGAAGAGGAGTTACTGGTGAACACGTGACTTGCCCGCCTCCCTCTCCTGCTCTTTCCCCTCTCTGAGAAGAGCAGGGCCGCCTCTCAGAACATTGAGCCTGGTAACCCCAGGTCAGGGCTGGTGGCAGTGGGTGTGGGATGTGAGAAGGAATTGAGCTGTGGCTTCCTGCCAGGTGGTTGGTGGACCTATGGCCCTGGTGGCGAGCATGCAGCGCCTGGCACCCCTGCTGAGTACCGTGCTGACCTCTGAGCAGCCCCGAATGTCCATCCAGCACCATCATGCAGGTGAGCCGGCTACCCACCCTCCCACTGGGCTTAGAGGACCCTCCTCTGCCTGCTCCCTGGGAGCTCTCCTCCCTGACAGACACTGCGTTCTGTTTTCCTGCCTTTGCCCGAGCTGCATCCTCCATCCAAAATGCCTTTTCTCCCAGAAAACTCCTATGCGTTCTTCAGAACCCAGCTTGAGCATCAAGTGCTCTAGGAAGCCTTTCCTAGTTTGAGTTCCTCTTGATGGTTCCCCCCTCCTCAGTTACCCCAGCATCTTGAACATGTCTCTCCTTGCATTTGTGGTAATTATAAGATTGTCCCCTCTGCCTGATACCCCCTGAGTGTCAGGGCTGTTTCTGAGCCATCTCTGCATGAGGCCCAGGTCCACAGTCTGAGTGTCAATTGAGTGGGGGCACATCTAGAGTGGACCTTCAGGCACCAACTTGTCCCTCAGGTACCCAGTGTCTTGTGGTGCTCACTGGTATTCAGGTCCTGACTCCCAGGGAACTCCCCCTTCTCAGCAACCCTCTCTCCTGGACTTGGAGAAATCCGATGTACCTGGGGAAAATGGCCGAGCCTCTCTGAGATGGAATGGTGGCAGGGAGGGGACAAGCTGACCCTGCCAGCTGGGCAGCTTGTCAGAAAGACCTCATTCCAGTGGGGACAGCCACCAGCCCCATTTGATCCTAGGCCTGGAGGTGCGGAGCCTACACCTGCGGGAGGCCAGTGCTGGGGGCTACATATTCACAATGCCTGGTGGGCATCCAGAGGGGCCCGGCCACATCCACATTCCCGCAGGTGAAGTGAGGCGGCTCCTCGGGAAAGGTGGGTGAGAGGAGGGGTGGCTGGGTCCTGCGGGGGTCCCCCCAGACCTCAGTTCTGATGTTGTCAGCCATGCTACTTCGAATGAGTTACCTTATCTGTGGTGACCCTATTAGCTGGGTGTGGTGGCGCAATGCCTGTAGTCCCAGCGACTCAGGAGGCCAGCCTGGGAAACTCAGTGAGACTTTGTCTCAAAATACAAAATAAAAAGGGCTGGGGATGTAGCTCAGTGGTAAAGCACCCCTGGGTTCAATATCCAGTACCAAAAAGAAGGAGGAGGAGGAGGAGGAGGAGGCGGCGGCAGCGGCGGCAGCAGTGGCAGTGGTGGGGGCTGGTGCAACATGGCTCACCCCATACCTGTGGTCCTTGCCTTGTGGGTTGTTATGAGGGTGAAAGCATCTACCACATCATAGTGTCAAATGAATCTCCTCCACTGACCCTACACATTTTTTCCTCAGAGGTGGATGGTAGAGGGAGCCCCCCACTTGCCCTTAGTCCCACAAAGGGGCAAAGATTAGGGCAAGGGACAAAGGGATTTGGAGCTGCAAGGCTAGGTGCGTGGCTATGGCTATTCTCTGTCACTTGTTAGCTAAGTGATCTTAGGGAAATCACTTAACCCCTTTGAGCCTCAGTTTCCCTATCTGTAAAGTGGGAGAGCACTACACTCAGAGCCAGCTGGTGCTTGATCAGTCACCAGGCAGGGGCTTGGGTCCCCTTCCCACTCAACCAGGCCTCTCTGGAGTCACCATGATCCACAGCTGGTTCACCTCCAGTGTCTTCCAGTACGCCCTGGGGGTGCCTGCCCTGGAACCCCAGGCCTCTGACAGCTCAGAGGAAGCCAACAGGATGCAGAGGTGAGTGGGCCCCACCCAGCAGGCTGCCAGAGGGCTGTGTTCTCTTCACAGGGAGACCAGTCCTCCATCCCACCCAGAGACCCCTTCTGGTGGGCAGATCTTGGCAGGCCAGGGTCCCTTTCCTATCCCCAGCCTTCTGGGCCTGCCAGAGGGAACACTGGTACAACATGGCTCACCCCATATCTGAGGTCCTGTCTTCTGTGTTGATACTCAGGAAAGGAACAGGACTCACCAACGAGTCCCCAGGGAAGACTGGAACCCAACACCTCAAGTCCCAGCACAGGGCTTTCCCAGATGTTTGGACACACATCTGGGCATGACCTCTCCCTGCTACCACCACCCTAAAGGCTCCCTTTCTCCCACAGGTTCCTGAGCACACAGGTGGGGTCAGCCATCCTCTCCTCCGAGGTGTGGGACACTGTCGGGGAGGTCAGCACGGCCGTGACCTTTCACCTGCAGCACCAGGCCCAGGTACTGGTGGTCCTTCTGGGGAAAAGCCCCCAGGAATGCTTGCTCCAGTTCTCCACCCAACCCCCCAATATTGTTCATTGAACGACCAAGGTCTAGACACACCCAAGAAACAATATTCCCCCGGGAACGGTCCCCACCGTCCTCAAGGGAATGGGAAGGGAAGCCATGGATGGTGAGCTCTCTACCTGCCGGCCGCCTCTGAGAAGAAGCGTTCAATTCACCCTCCAGCTGCTTCCTGTGCCCTTGGGAGAGGCCAAGTGATTGGCCTCAGCCTTAAATGGCAGGTGGGGTTCATTCTAGAGCTGTGTAACTTGAAGAACCAAATCACGCAGGTCAGCCGCTGAAGCGTGTGCACAGGTGACGTTCAGGGTCTTCCCTGCAGTGTGCAGCGTGGGAGTGAAAACAGACCCCGCGGGGGGTGCAGCTCAGTGGTAGGGTGCTTGCTTGCCAGGCACAAGGCCCTGGGTTCCACCCCCAGCACCACAGAGAACAAGCCACCTCCAATGTCCATCTGTAGTGCACCGCTTAGAAAGCCCCAGGGAGCTGCCCACAGGACTGGTCGGCCGATGTGACATAAAGAGCGAGGTATTCCTCTATAAACTGACACAGAAAGATCTCCAAGACTTGTCTTTTGATTTTATCACATGTAATTTCCAGACACCTACTTCTCCCTTTTGAAATATCAGAATATTTCAGAGAAAGCTCCCTTGCTTACAACCAGTAATTCTGGACGCACACATTCCACAGTTTACTGTTTTTGCATATCCTCCCAAGACTTTTGAGCAATCAGTTTGATTAAAGTGTCCGTCATCCCTTAGCATCCATGAGAAACTGGTTCTATGACCCCCTCGATGATATATCAAAATCCAAGAATGGGGGCTGGGGTTGTGGCTCAGTGGTAAAGTGCTTTCCTGGCACGTGGGAGGCACTGGGTTTGATCCTCAGCACCACATTAAAAATAAACAAAAATAAAACAAAGGTATTGTGCCATCTACAACTAAAATTTTTTTTTTTAATCCAAGGAAGCTCAAGCTGAAATAATAGTTGCAATAACCTACATAAATCCTTTCATACACTTTGAATCACTTCTAGATTATTTGTAATACCTAATACAATGTCACTGCTACATAAATGGTTGTTATTATAGTGTATAGTTTAGGGAATAATGACAAGAAAAAAGTCATGTTCAGTACAGATGCAATTAAAAAATATTTTCCATACACAGTTGAACCTGAGGATACAGAGGCTGGAGGGTATAGAGCATGCAATCTGATAAGCCTTGACCTCGTGTGTTCCCCTGTACCACTACCCCAGTCAAGGTACACAACACTTCCAACTTCCCAAAAGGCTTCTTTGGGCCTCTCTTGTGCCAGTCAGTTGTCCATACCAGGATGTCACTGCTCTGCTTTCCATGACCATGGATCATGCCTGCCTTTGCTGGAGCTTCATACAATGCCATCACTGTATGTGTTGAGGTCTGGCTTCCCTTGCTCTCCTTTTTACTGCTAAGTAGTATTCTACCACATTGGCATATTAGCATTTGTTTTCCCATTTGAGCTCTTGTCCGTGAATCTGCTATAAGGACTCACATACAGGTATTTTTTTGTGAACATGAGATTTCTTTCTATTGAGTACATTCCAGAAAGCCAACTTGCTGGGTTGCATGATAAACACATCTTAACCTGCTAAGAGACTGTCAACCTGTTGTCCCCAGTGCTCGTGCCACTCATGTTCCCATCAGCAATATGAAAGTTCCATTTGTTCCACATCTTAGCCAACATCTTTTCTTCCCCTTCTTCCTTTCTTCTTTCTGTGGTTGAACCCAGGGGTGCTCTACCGTTGAGTCATACCCCCAACCCTTTTTACTTTTTATTTTGAGACAAGATCTTGATAAGTTGCCCAGTCTGGCCTCAAACTTGCAATCCTCCTGCCTCAGTTTCCTGAGTCGATAGGATTACTGCGCCCAACCTGTCAGCCTTCTTCCTGGTTATATATTGATACCTCATTATGTTTTAAGATTGCAATTCCTTGAAGACCAAAGATTTTGAGCATCTTTTCATAGACATGTTGAGCATTCATATATCTTTTGTTAAATGTATGTTCAAATCTTTTGTTCTGTTATCAAATTATAAGATTTCTTTATATATTCTGGATATAAATCCTTTTTCAGATATGTGTTTTGTGAATATTTCTCCTAGTATACAGCTTGTCCCCCCGCCCCGCTTTTTTTTGGTACCAGGGATTGAACTCAGAGTCACTCGACTACTGAGCCACATCCCCAGCCCTATTTTGTATTTTATTTAGAGACAGAGTCACTGAGCTGCCTTGCTTTTGCTGAGGCTGGCTTTGAACTTGTGATCCTCCTGCCTATAAAGACTCCCGAGCTACTGGCATTACAGGAGTGTGCCACCACACCCAGCTTCATGCTTTTGTATTCTAAGAAAGCATTGCTAATCCTCACGTCATAAAGATATTTTTAAAGAAGTTTATCATTGTAGCTTCTATATGAAGGTCTTTTATTTCAGTTAATTTCTGTTTATTAAGCAAGTTAAGGATCAAAGTTTATGTCTCCCTTATGGACATCCAGTTCCAATACCATTTGTTGAAAAGATTCTATCCCGTATTGATTATCTTGACATCTTTGTTGAAAATAGATTGTCCAGATACGTGTAGATTATTTCTGGGCTCCTTGTTTTGTTCCATTGACTGTACGTCTGTCCCTGCACTAATCCCATACTGTCCTGATTAATGAGTCTGAAGAATAAATTACAGTCAGGTAATAGAAGCCCTTCAACTTTTTTTTTTTTTCAAATTTGCTTTGGCTATCCTAAGATGTTTACACTTCCAAAAAAATATTAGAATTGGCTTGTCATTATTGATGGAAAAAATCTTTTGGGATTTTTGACTGAGATTTCATTGAATCTATATTATTGAGTTGAGAGAACGGGCATCTTAGTAATGAGTCTTCTGATTCATGATCAGGGCTTAACCCTCTATTTAGGTTAAATTTCTCTCAGCATTGATATACAGTTTCTAGTGTGCAGCTCTTGAAGATATCTTGTTAAATATATCCTAAAGTATTTCATATTTTTAGATGTGAATTTGTTTTCTTAATTTTATTTTATTTATTCATTCATTCATTTGTTCATTGTTCAGTGCTGGGGATCAAGCCTGGAGCCTTGCACATGCTAGGCAGGTGCTATACTACTGAGCTACACCTCCTTGATTTAATTTTAATTTAATTTAATTATAAATTAATTTTAAAATTAAAATTTAATTTTAAAAGTTTCGGTTTTTGTAGTTGTAGATGGACAGAATGCCTTTATTTTATTTGAGACAAGATCTTGCTAAGTTGCCCAGTGGTGCTGAGGATCAAACCCAGGGCCTCATGCATGCTAGGCAAGTGCTCTGCCACTGAGCTACAGCCCCAGCCCTAAAATTTAATTTTAAATCCTTTATTGCTAGTATATAGAACACAATTGCTTTATATAGGAATACAATTGGCACAATATCATTGTACCCTGAAAGCTTGCTGAATTCACTTTGCCTTTCTAGTAGATATCTTCTAGAGTCCTTGGAATTTTTTATATTGATCTTATTGTCTGCAAAGATAGTTTTGTTTTCCCCTTTCCAATCTATGTTATTTTTCCTTTTCTTGTCCTATTGCAATGGCAAGAATTTCTAGTTCAGTGTTAATAACAGTAGTGAGGTCAGGATCCTTGTGTTGTTCCCCATCATAAGAGGCATAGCATCCAGTCTTTCACCATGTAAGTGTGATGTTAGCTATGAGGTTTTATAGATGCCCTTTATTGGACTAATTTCTCTGCTTTTCTGGCTTGCTGAGAATTTTTATCAGGAATGGTTCTGAATTTTGTCAAATGCTTTTCCAACTTTGACATGATCCTATGGTTTTCTCTTTTATTAGGTTAACACAGTAAATTGCATCAGTTGATTTTCAAATGTTAAGCCTATCTTGGATTCCTGGGATCAACTCCCCCTGGTTATGGTGTATTATCCTCTGAATAATTGTTGGATTAAATTTCTAATATTTTGTTAATGATTTTTGAGTTTATGTTCATGAATAATGTGTTCTGTAGTTTACTATAATATGATTGTTGTCAATCATAGTTACCTTACTATGCTACATAAAACATTAGATTTTCTAGTATTCCTATCCACCTATATTCCTACCCAACTATCCTCCTGTACCTGCTAACCATCTTCAAAGGACTAACTTTTGAGATTATATTTATGTATTTTATTAATATGACTTAAAAATAAAATATCCTCATTGTGGCAAGTTTGGGAAATGTAGAAAAGGATAAAGACGACTAAACACTATTACTCAGATATAACCAATATGAACATTTTGGTGTATTTACCTTTAATCTTTATCTGGGCATACAACACAATTATTATTATTATTTTAAATTTTTTTTAGTTGTCAATGGACCTTTATTTTATTTATTTGTATGTGGTGCTGAGGATCAAACCCAGTGCCTCACACATGCTAGGTAAACACTCTGCCACTGAGCCCCAGCCCCAGCCCACAACACAATTACTTTTTAAAGGTGAAAAAATATATATTTAGAATCAGCCAGCTGGACTCAGTTTAGATGACCCCATTTTGTTGGTGACATCCAGAGCATGTCATCATCAGGAGCTGATGGAACACACACCTTATCAGGCCGGCCTGGCCAGGATGTTGACCTTGGCCACATCCTTGTCACAGAGCTTCACCTCCATCTGGCACTCACTGGCCTTGACATTCACAGTGAGCACAGTGTCTGTTGTCTTCTCTCGTCTTCGCAGAAGGCTCTGTGGTCAGGGCAGCTTGAGGCTGCATGGTGGTCAAGCTGGGTCCTCTGGCGAGCGCTCTTCTGAGGATGTCAGCTGTCTCCAGAGCGGCATCGTCTCAGGCTGCCAAAAGATATGCAGCTCTTCTTTTGTGCCTGGGGATACCTTGCGGCGCTGCCTTCTTGGCCTTCAGAGTGTGACTGTCTTTGCCTTCAAGAGGGAGGAGTGCCCTTCTCCACCTCAGGCGCCATCTTAGTGAAAAGGTCCACTATGAATATTTCTTTCCTTTTGCAAAACCAAGGACTTGCTCTCTCAACGGAGCCAGCCAGTGGTTGTGGGTTGGTTTGTCATTCTCTGCAGCTGTTTTCTGCATTGTCTCCGTCACAGGTGGCCCTTCACTGACCTGTCACTTGCTGCTCAATCCTTGCATGGGGAGGCCTGGGCTGTTGTGGGTTCAGAACCCACAACCACTCTCTTCTACAAGGAATGGTCCAAAGTGAGCATGATCCTCCCCTAAGCCCACGAGCCCTGCCCCACCCTGCACACATCTTCTCTCATAGTCAGTTTGATTCTGGTGACTGCTTCCTGGTGTGGGGCATGAGACACAGATAGTCTTGTCCTTTTTTTTTAATATTTATTTTTTAGTTGTAGTTGGACACAATGCCTTTATTTCACTTATTTATTTTTGTATGTGGTGCTGAGAATCAAACCCCGGGTCTCACACGTGCGAGGCGAGTGCTCTACCGCTGAGCCACAACCCCAGCCCAAGTCTTGTGACTTTTGAGTGCACAGCTACATTTATATTTCAGTTTGCACCCCTTGAAAATGCCACCAGTCATACAATAAGAACCCATTTCTGAAAGTATAGGGTGGCTTGATTTGTGTTCTTGGTCCAAGGAAAAATACTATGAATGGATACACAGGATGAGACTTTAGTCAAGTCAACCCAGGAAACAGTAAGTTCTCTGGAGCCTTCATCACAAAGTGGGAAAAGGGCCATTGATCAAGCCGAGGCCCTGTCTCAGCTCCATGCCGTATGATCTGGAGCAAACTAAGCCCCCTCTCTGAGCCTTGGTTTCCTCAACTGAAATGACATATTCTTATCCTATCTCCTAAGTTGCTGTGACAATCAAATACAATTAAGGACATGAAAGTGCTTGGCAAAACACCAAGTGAGGTGACATTGCTGTTACCTTTCCCAGTCAGGACAAACAGCCCAAGTCCCAAGCAGACTGCCCTTACTGCTTGGACTAGGGTTAATACCAGAAGCTGCCTGATAGCTTTTTACTGCTTATTGACATCTTATAAAATCTATATTGTTGCCTGGCCTGGTGGCACATGTCTGAATCCCGGCTACTTAGGAGGCTGAGACAGGAGGATTACAAATTTAAGGCTGGTCTCAGCAACTTAGCAAGACTCTGTCTCAAAATAAAAAATAAAAGGGTTGAACCCCTGAGTTCAACCCCCAGTAGTGCCAAAAAAGAAAGAAAGAAAAAAAACTATATTGTAGTCCTTGTTCAATTTCACAAGAACTAACATGTTCATTATAATGCATTCGAGATCTGACCACCCTTAGATCAGCTGTGTGTTGTCCCAAGGTGGGCTCATGACACCGGGTTGCATCATGTTCTGCAACTTTTTCTTAACTGAACAACAAATCATGGAGGTCTTTCTGCATCAATAAATAGAGACCCCTTGATCTGACAGACACGGAGCACCCTGGGAGGGAGGAGTCACCGGTGTGACCTGCTCCCCAGGATGGCCACCGCACCTTCCCTTCTGCCCTGCACCAGTGTTCCTCTCCATACTGGACAGCCCTCGGTCCCCAAAACACAGAGTCCTCAGCACCTGCTGTCCCGCTCCATCCTTCTGGCCTCGCCCTCCTGACACACTTGGGCCCTGTGCCCCACACGTGTTCATGCACGCCCCGTCCCTGTGTCCCGTCCAGGCCTTCCCTCAGAAGCTGGTGGAGCCCGTCTGTGCTTTCTGGAACTTCAGCATCAGGTGAGTGTCCACTTCCACGTTTTTAAAATACAGTCTTTAAAAAGAAAGAAAGGAAGAAAGAAAGAAAGAAAGAGACTTTTCTTTCTGCTTGCAAATTAGGCAGGACCCAAGTGTAATTTGGGGCCTCCAAAAACTGCCTTGTGGGGAGATTCCAGGCCCCACCCAGCTCCAGGGCAAGCTGGGGCAGGAGAATGCGTTTCCCAGTGGGTAGTGAGCTCCCCGTCGTGGGAGGTGTGGGAGGGAGGCCACACTCACCCTGTGAGGTGCCGAGGAGACTTGTCTGTTAAATGGGTGTAAGACTTGGGGCCAGGCCTGAGGTCACTGAGAAGAGAGGAGGCTGCAGGGATTAGCACCAAGATCCCGTGCTGCACCTTTACCTGAGGGAGTGGAAGCAGTGACACCTGCTTGGTCATTAGGGTGATCCCTGGTCTCAGCCTGTCCCCCTACCATCCCTGAGATGGATAAGCACATTCTCCCCTGCCTGCTCCCTGAGCCCCCGCATGTCCACTGGGTCTCAACAGCCCTCTGTTCCCTCCCCACTCCCAAGCCCACACACAGGGGGTTCCTGGGCCACCGCGGGCTGCTCCGTGCTCTCCCTGTACCAGGACTCCACTGCCTGCTTCTGCAACCACAGCACCAGCTTCGCTGTCCTGTTGCAGGTGTACGACATCCAGGTGAGTGCAGCGGGGAGGGGCAGCAGGGCGTCTTAAAGGATGAACAGGAATGACGCAGAAGGGCAGGGGGAGAGGTCCCAAGCGCAGGGAGGAGGGGACCCCCACTGGACAGAGGGAGGAAGGCAGGTCAAAGACTAAAGTCTGGCCGGGCCCAGAGGCGCACGCCTGGAATCCCAGTGGCTCAGGAGGCTGCGGCAGGGGGATCGCAAGTTCAAAGCCAGCCTCAGCAACAGTGAGGCACTAAGCAACTCAGTGAGAGCCGTCTCTAAATAAAATACAAAATAAGGTCTGGGATGTGGCTCTGTGGTGGAGTGCCCCTGAGTTCAATCCCCAGTACCAAAAAACAAAAACAAAGTCTGGACCACTGGGAATGGGGGGGGCTTGGCCCTGAGAGGGAACAGGTGGGTAATGGATGGGAGTGGCCTGTGGGTTCGAAGGGGTTAGGGTCTGGTGTTCAGTCGAGTGTCTCTGCTGGAGATGCAGAGCCAGAGGGCAAAGCCAGGGGCCTTGGTGAGGCGGAAGTAAGAGGAGGCTTGGCCAAGAGACGCCCGAGTCCCTGAGTGCCAGCATGACAGGTTGGGGGGAACAAACTCCAGGAGACCGAGAGGCTGGGCTCCATGGAGCTGGAAAGGACTCCCAGGTCACTTGCTAGGAGATCAAGTTGGATAGGGCTGGAGCCTCTGGAAGGCTGGGTCACTTGGAGTTTTGGGAATACCCTAGAAAGACATCATCAACACATTTTTTTTTCCTATAAAAACAGAGCTCGGACATTCCTCCATGTCGCAAACAACCCATCCACAGCCCTGTTCCTTTTTTTATTACAGGGGTACATACTGGTGGGGGTTGTTGCTACATATCTGAACATACACACGATCATCAACATAACAACATAATGGGGCCAGTATCACTCCAGCTGTCCCCCTTCCCTCCCCCTCTCACCCCTTGGTCCCTTTCCTCTACTGATGTCCCTTAGATTTCCATGAGACCCGCCCCCACCTTTCTTTACCTCTCTAGCTTCCGCATAGGAGAGAAAACATGCAACCCTTGACCTTCTGAGTTTGACTTACTTCACGTGACATGTTGGTGTCCAGTTCCATCCATTTTCCTGAAAATGACATAATTTTCCTTAGGCCACAGCCCATTCTTAGTGACCATCCCGCGGTACCCATGGCGAGTTGTCTCTCCTGTGGAATCCCCCCTCCCCGTGGGCACGTCAGCTGCTTCCAGCTCAGCGCTCTCCACGCTGGCGGACCTGGGCGTATGGGGCCAGGATAGAGAACCAGCAGGAGAGGCGCGTGTGCACATGCTCACTTATTAAGGGCCTACTGTGTGCAAGCCTGGACCTTGAAGGCTGGTGCTGGGAGAGTCTGTTCTCGTCCGGGTGGCAACAGTGTCCTTTCTGTCCCTCCCTACAGAGAGGCCCCGAGGAGGAGTCACTTCTGAGGACCCTCTCGTTTGTGGGCTGTGGCGTGTCCCTCTGCGCCCTTGCTACCACCTTCTTGCTCTTCCTGGCAGCTGGGTGAGGACAGCTCCTGGCACCTCACCCCTCATGGGCCTGCACTGCCTCTCAGTCCATTCCTGTTCCCAGTGACCTTGGTGGGAGGTCTCCCCTTGGGGCCTGCTGGGTCCCAGGCAGAGCCGCCTTCTCTGCCTCCATGAGCCCAGCCGCAGGGGATCTGGCAGGATGGGGTCTGAGAGCTCTTGGGGACTGTTGTGCTGTCCTTGTTACCAACTCCTCTGCCTGTCCAGGGTCCCCAAGTCAGAGAGGACCACAGTCCACAAGAACCTCACCTTCTCCCTGGCCTCTGCTGAGGGCTTCCTCATGGCCAGTGAGTGGGCAAAGGACAGCAAGGTGGGCAGGCAGCAGATGGACTTGCAAACTCGGGGGCCCAGGGAAGCAACTGGGGCCCTTTCTGGATTGTCCCCCGCCCTTGACATCTTCAGCTGGCTGCATTCCCCTGGGGAAGAGCTGGCCCAGAGAGGAAAGGACCTGGGTGGTGGAGCCCAAGGCCTGCCTGGGGCCCTCGCCCACTGACCCCTGTTTGGGTTGTAATGCCAGGCACGAGCGTGGGACCCAGGGTGGGCTGTGCCAGAGCTGACCTCACTGGGGACACTCCACCCTCCCACAGGTGGCATGTGTGGCTGTCACAGCTGCAATGCACTTTCTCTTTTTGGTGGCATTCTCCTGGATGCTGGTGGAGGGACTGCTGCTATGGAACAAGGTGGTAGCCGTGAGCATGCGCCCAGGTCCCAAGATGAGGCTCTACTATGTCATAGGCTGGGGTGAGACCCCCACTCTCCACTCTTGCTCTGTTCTTCCCAGCTGTGCCCCTACACAGCCTCTGTTGCCACTCAACACCACCTCATGCCCAGTACCACCTAGGCCCATCTCTACCTGGTGCCTGCCACCACCCAGCACCCAGCATCACTCAGCACCCAGCATCACTCAGCACCCAGCACCCAGCATCACTCAGCACCCAGCATCACTCAGCACCCAGCACCCAGCATCACTCAGCACCCAGCATCACTCAGTAAGGATCTCTGATAAGAGCTCAGTTTTCTCAGTTCTCTACCCTACCCCAGTTCCTCTTTTATATATATGGACCTTTGTGTGGTGCTGAGAATTGAACCCAGCACCTCACTCATGCTAGACAAGCACTCTACTACTGAGCCACAGCCCCAGCGCCTCTGTTCCTCTTAATCCTCCTCCACCTCAACAACCTCAGCTTCCACCTCCAGCCCTGCCCCCAATCCACAACCTGCACCAACTCCCAGACCTAAGCCTTCAACCCGATCTCAGCTTCCCCACTCCCCAAATACTCATGGCTCCAATGCCCCCCCAACAGTGCCAGCCCCTAGCCCTGCTCCCTAGTCTCCCCAGTGTCCCCAGGCAGTTGCTAACCAGGGCTGTGGCTGCTGCTTGGGGGTAAGGATCAGTACCCTGCAGAGAAGACCCACTCCTCCTTTCCCTAGGCATGCCCGTGGTCATCGTGGCCATCACAATGGCCAAGAGCCCCCATGACTATGTGGCCGCCGGACACTGCTGGCTTGATGTGCACACAGACACCATCTGGGCCTTCGCGGGGCCGGTACTCCTCGTGCTGTTGGTGAGCTGGGGGGGGGGTGTGAAGGGCGGGCTGCTTTCAGGATGAGAGGACCCCTTCTCCCACTGACGCTAGGTCTCCAGGCCAACACCTACATCCTGTTCCGCGTGGTGATGGTCACCGTGTCCAGCGCCCGCCGCCGTGCCCGCATGCTGAGCCCGCAGCCTGGCCTGCGGCAGCAGATCAAGATACAGATGTGGTGAGGCCCAGCTTGGGAAGGTGGCGGGACAAGCAGAGCCGCCCGAGGCCCACTGGTGTGAGCATGTGTGTGCACCCTGGGGGTGTGGCTGTGTGGGTGTGAGGTGTGCCCACAGGTATGCACACGTGTCCTTGCTTACGTGTCACACACACCCATGCATGTCATGTGAGGGTGGCCATCGATCCAGAGTGACTCAGTGGGACACCAGCCACTGCCCTGGGGCTCCCTGTCTGCAGAAGGCACTGATAGCCTTCTAGGGACAAGGTGAGGGACCCCAGAATCAGATAACCCCCAGAAGTTCAGGTTCAGGGTGAAGTTCTGGGTCCCTACCCTTGTCAAGAACCCTATCGCTCTTCCTGCTGGGAAGGGGCCCCTGCCTTCTTCCCCTCCTCTTTCTCCACCAAGGGCAGGCAGCCAAGTCAGGGAGACCCCAAAAAGCCCAGAGCCCGAGGTCTTCCTGGAGAGAGAAAGGGAAGCCCCTTGGACTCTGTGCACCTGTCCCCTGCCCAGGTCTCCTTCTGGGTATCTGCCCCCATTTGTTCAAACCAGGTTTGGTTCTGGGACCCTCTCTCTCCAGTGTCACCATCTGTTCTTCATGCCACCTCTGGGTATTTGGTAAGGGGCAGCAGAGTCCAGAAGGTTCTAGCTACCCCCAAGTCCTACTTGTGCTGTGGTCCCTGTCTACATGTCCCACCCCTCTCCAGGTACTTCTCAGGTGCTACCCTCCCTGAAGGGAGTGCCCCATCCCCCTCAGCCCTGCCCACTGTCCCACAGGGCCACAGTGAAACCAGTACTGGTCCTTCTGCCCATCCTGGGCCTAACTTGGCTGGTCGGCATCCTGGTGCATCTCAGCCCGGTCTGGGCCTACATTGCTGTGGGCCTCAATTCCTTCCAGGTACCTCTAGGCTCTGGCCCATCCGGACTGGGGCTCTGACACTCAGGAACCCAGAGGGGACAGCTGGTTTGTCAGGCAGGGAGCAGCCCTGGGGCCTGATTCCAGAGTGTGGCTTCTCAACCACTGGGGTGGTCAGGCATGACCACAGATGGGCCCAGGCATGCTCCTGGGGAGGGTGCCCTGCCTCAGTCACTCACCCACCTGTGCCCCGTGCGGGCCTTCTACTTGTTCCCTTGGAACTCAAATTTGGGGAAGGCAGCCAATGATCCAGAATAGGAACTGACATGTTGGTGGGGGCTGAGGCAGGGAGGGTTGGGGGTGCTAGCCCTCTTGTCCTCTCCCCTGGGCCTTGGGACTCCACCACCTGCCAGGCAGGAGTGGAGAGGGAGAGGACAGAAAGTGGGCACTGCTAGGGGTTGGTGGGGGCCACACCCAGGGGCACCCTGCATTGCACACTCCTGACTCCAGAGTGGCCGCATCCCTCCCTCTCCATCGATGTGGGGGCAGGACCAGCTCTGAGCCCGGGCTCTTGCTCATGCCGTCTCCTGGCTGTGTCTTGCTCCTGTCACCCCACCTCCAGCCTCTGTCTTAGGCACAACCTCTGCCCTCAGGACAGTGACTGGGACACAGTCCCCCCTGGTGTGGGGATAGGGCTTGACGTCTGTGTGTGTGTCTCTGCTGTGACCTGGGGACCACAAGGCAGGAGGCCAGGCTGGGGTGGGGCTGGGCGGTGTCTCAGGGTTTGATTTCGGGTCTGTCCCCAGGGGCCCTACATCTTCCTGGTCTATGCTGCCTACAATGGGGAAGTGAGTCGGGGTCCTAGGGCTGCAGGGAGGCGGGTCACGGTGGGACCTTCAGAACCCTCCCCTACAGGCCCAATGTGGGGCGTAGGTGTCTGGGGCCTGACCTCTGCACGTCCCCGCAGGTGCGGAGCGCCCTGCAGAGGATGACCGAGAAGAAGGCAGCGGCGCTCGCTGTGGGGCAGGCCGGGCCCACCACTGTCACCATCTCCTGTGGGACCTGCTCGGGCCCCTCTAGCCAGCAGCCTCCAGGTCCCTGGGAGGTGCCCCGGACTCCACCGAGAAGACATGTGGCTCTCAGAGGTCAGATCTCAGCACCTTGTGGTCCCCGTGCTGTGGCAGAACAGTGACCATGGCAGATCCTATTAGCCCATTTGAAAGACAGGAAACGGAGGCCCTGGAGAGTCCTCAAACAAATGTGGGCAGGAAATGGCTTTAAACTGGCTTGTCAAGGGCTGGGGTGTAGCTCAGCTGTGGAGCTAGCTACCTAGCTAACCTAGGGCCCCATCCCCAGCACCAACACATGACTCCTGGGGCCCAGCCAGAGGAGGGGTGGGACTAGCTGGGGTGACCTGAGTGTCCATGCAGGGGGTGTTGGGAGATTCCTGCAGACAGGTGTGTGGATGGGCTTGGGGCCCTGAGGCAGGGCGTGGGTTAAATGACCTCATGTCCTGTCTACGTTCCAGTCCCAACCCCCAGCGAACCCCCTGCATCCCCTTGGGCTTCAGTGTCCTCATCACTAACCTGGGTAAAGCTTTGAGTGGATTCCTAGACTGTTAGATAACGAGGACCCCACCCAGCGTGGGGAGCAGGGAGAGGGCTTTCTGCTCCCGTCTCAGAAAGCGCACTGATCCCATGTTCTTCCCCTACTAGGGATCCACGGCCCCAGAATCCCCACAGCCTTCTCTTCTATTGCAGAACCTGAGAGACCAGTGAGGCTGGGACAGGCCTGGCCCCAGGGGACCAGCAAGTGTGGCCGACAGGGTTGGGGAAGCCACAGGGAGTAGGGTCCGGTGGGGTGGGGGCTTCTCCTGGGGTCCTGTCCCTCAGTTGCTGGGCTGAAAGGCCCTGGAGCAGCAGAGAGCTGCAGCCTGTGGGTGGCACAACTGAAGGTCAGGGCCACTGGGGTTGAGGGAGGAGGAGTCACCAAGGTTTCTGGGGGTGGGGGTGGGGTTTCCCAGGGGAAGGGAGGAGGAACCCAGGCCACCCTGTTCCCCTCTCCTCAGGCTGTGGAGCTAACAGCATTCAAGGCTTCAGGTATGGCCACCTTGGGGGGTTCCCCTACCCCCTTTGGGCCTGGACACCCCCTCACCCCACTTTACCAGGATAGAAGTAATTGGAGAAGCAACCACACCCACCTTCCACAATTTAAGGGGCCCTGACCTCACTTTATTCCCTGATAGTGTCTGAGAGTCTTCCTTTAGGACACTGGACTGTGCAGGGACAAGGCAGAGCTCTTGGGGAGAGGGTCACTTAAGGGTGAGGTTGGAGGAAACCTTCCCAGACCTGGTCCTCCCTGCAGGGGCAGTGAACAAGAAGCCTGCCCTCTGTCCACTCTCCCTGGTCCCCAGTCCTGCTGCCCAGCCTCCTGCTCTGAGGGCCCTTCCAAACCCAGTGAGGGACAGTGCTTCCCTCCATGCCTGCAGACAGCCTGGCAAGACTGGGGACATCCCAGGCCAGGTCCAGGGAGCTCAGGCTGGCCCCAGGGGAGCTGTCTGTACAGCTCCCTCAGCCTCTCTAAGTCTTCAGTCTCACAAACTGAGGCAGACACTGGCCAGCCTCACACTTTTTTTTTTTTATACTGGGGATTGAACCTAGGGGCACTTAACCACTGAGCCACATCACCCCATCCTCAGCACTTTTTTATTTTGAGGCAGAGTCTCACTAAGTTGTTTAGGGCCTCTCTAAATTGATAAGGCCGGCCTCGAATTTGTGATCCTTCTGCCTCAGGCTCCCAGGTTCCTGGGATTACAGGCATGGGCTACCACACCTGGCACACACTATTTCCAGCAAGGGGTGAGAAGCCTTTTTTTGGGAGCTCTTACTGGGGCCCAGTGCCATACCAAACCCCAGACATCTTCTCATTTTAATCCAGTGGCCTGGGAAGAGGCTATGCTGCTTTCCTCCCATTGCACGGTTGAGCAAACTGAGGCACAGAAAGGAGCAGCACCTAGCTAGAGTCAGAGGCAGAGCTGGGGGCAGGCCCACCCATACAGATGGGAGAACTGAGGCCCTGCCATAGTCATATGAGTGTGAGCCCCAGCACGAGAGAACCCAGGTCTGTGTGACTCTCCAGCTGTGATCAGTCCCTTGGAGGCTCAGCTTCCCCAGCTGCAAAACGGGCCGGAAGCGCCCCCTGCAGGCGGGTCGAGTGGGAGCAGGGCTGGCGCAGGGCGCTCCGAGGGGCGGGGCCTCGGCCCCACGGGCCCCGCCCCCATCCGCACCCGCGGGCTCAGCGCATCTGCGGGAACAAGAGTCGCTGCGCGCCTCTGCGCTCAAGTGACAGCGCCTTTGTCTCTGCTGAATATGTGTGTTGCTAAGGCCGCTCGTAGCAACGGAGCGGCTTCCACCTCGGCCCCACCCTCCCGACCCCAACCTTGGCCTGGTCCCCCGACGCTCCCGCTCCTATCCCTCATCCCAGCCAGCAGCCCACTCAGTGTGCGGGGGAGTGGAGGCTGTGCGCGTCCCTCGCGGTGCCGCCCGCCCCTCCAGAAAGCCCATGGAGCCCGGGGTAACGCAGGTGTTCTCAGGGTGAGAAATCGAGGCTCAGAGGCCATTAGGAGGCTGCCCAGGGTGGCCCAAGCCTGGATTCCCACCCAAGGTCTTCCCCCAGCCTTCCTTCCCAGACTCCTCCCCATCTTAGCGGTTTTGGGTCACTGGGCCGCTTTCCTTCCAGGTTTCTAGAGAGTGTCCAGGGGCTTTCCTGCAAGCCCCTCCCCAGCTCACCTGGCCTGGGGACACCCTCCCAGGACCCCCAATCTGGATAAGAGGCACAGCTGGCAGCCTCAAGTGACAGAAGAGTAGCCCGGGATCAGCTACTCCCAGCAGCAGCCGGCTTGAGTGTGGACCCCTCCTGGGGCTCCCGCTAACCCCAGCATGGCCCACTGTCTCCTCTTCCTGAGATTTGTCCCTGTCCACCTGTCGCCAGGTTCCGACATGCCCTGCAGTGTCTGGTAATAAACAATACTGTTGAGATGTTTTCTGTCCCTGTCTGGGGGTCCTCCTGGTCTGGGGAGCAGGAGAAGATTCTAGGCGCCCTGGGATGAGTGAGGGAGTGAGAACAGCTTCCACTTTGGCTTTGGCATTCAGCCTTGTCACTAGGGTGGATGCAGTCAACATTTATAACCACCTGCGCTGGCAGGGCGGAGCCTTTTATCACCCACAGCTGGGGTCCTCACCTCGGCCCTGAGACCAGCGTCTCCTGTCTTGTGCAGAGGAGGATGCTCCATGATTCAGATCTGGGGTCTCCTGGCCATGTAGTGCAGGGGGCAGCTGCAGGTGGTGTGAGTGGCAGTCTGCTCAGAGGAGCTCTCTGGCAACCACAGCCATCCTGAGGAGGCTGGGGCTTGCTCGGGTCTGGTGGGAGTCATTTTGTGGAATCAGACCCTGCCACCACCCACTGTGCCACCAGGGGCAAGATTCTTCTTCAAGTCTGGGCCTCTTCTTGGGTAGAAAGGTGGAGGAGCGGTGGATATGTTAGGGCTTAACACCAGGCTTAGGGCCAAGGAGGACCCAGGGCTGGGACTTGCCAGGCAGAGGCTGCCAACACCACCCTCCTCAAGCCAGAATCAGAGCTGCTGTGGGGGCTGGCAGGGCAACAAGGAGGTGGAATTGAACTGGGCAGGGCACCTGGGGCCCGTGACTGCCTGCGTTTTCGGTGTTCCCTGACTCCTTCCCCTCTCTTTCAGAAGGCTCCTGTGTCCCTTCAACCAATCATAAAGGCTAGGCGGGCACTGCAAAGGCGGGGACCAAGGAGTCCTTTCCAGCCCTGTCCTGTTTCGTACTCTTCCCCCTCACACAAACCCTCTTCACTCTCCAGTCAAACACACCTGCTGACTTCCTCATCCCTTTGCTCTCATGCTATTCCATCTCCCTGGACTGCCCCCAACTTCCATTGAGCCAGTGAACTCCTAGGCATCCTTCAAAACCCAATTTAAATGACAGCTATAAAGCCTTCCTGTTCCTTCTCCCATCCCCCCAGGAACAGACTCAATCACTTCCTCATCTCATCTGGCTCAGTTACATGAGCCAAATCAACACATCAGATTACAATCTGAGTAAGACAGTCTCCTCCTCCAACACTGCACATTGCAGGGGCAGGAGCTGGGGGCCTGCTGCACTTCTACAGGCACCAAGGAGAGGGACCCCTTTATCTTGGCATAAAAGCCCTTATTACTTTGCCCTAGAAGTAGTGCCCTTTTCTAATTTGCACAGAGGCACTGGCTAGGCCAAGCGTGGCTCTGCAGATGAACTAACCAAGTTGGTCGAGGAGGGTCAGGACAGCGTGCCCATTGTGACTAGGGAAAACCACTTCGCTCTCCCATGCCTTAGTTTCCTCATCTGAAATCTTGGGCTGCCACCTATGGAAGTGGCTTTGATTAGCATATTGGAAAACAGAACGGGTAGGTAAAATGGCAGGCACAGCGCCTGGGCCACCGCAAGTGTCATCAGATGCCGGCTGTGCTCACTGCTGCCACCAAGTGACAGATGGGGAGAAAGGGACCTCATGACAGCCCAGAGAGGAAGAGGCCAGTGCCTGCAGTCCAGTGGACCCAGGTTGGGATCTGCATCCCCAGACTGTGAAAAGGCCCTTGGCAGGTGCCTATCCTTCCTGAAGTATAAACCCTGTAGGACAGTGAGATGAGGGACAGCACACAGTAGGTGCTCATTAAATGACTGCTCCCTTCTACCCAAGATAGGGGCTGAGCTGGCATGGCAGGGTAGAACTGAGGCGAAGGCTCTAAAAGGCCACAGAATCTTCCAGGCCTTCTGGGTACATTGGGAATCCCATGAATGAGATGAGATCCATTCACCCCAATTCCTGCCATCCTTCCTGCCTCCCTAGAGTTTTGAACCAAATGTCATCTGCATGTCACCTCTATCCCCATCAGAGAACCACCAACCTCAGACCACCCTAACCCACCCAGGGGGCCCTGCTCCAGATGGCAACTGGCCAAGGTGGCTGGAAACTAATGGCAAAATTTATTCCAAGGCTGCCGGGCAGGGGCGGGGTCGTAAGGGCACTTCTTGTTTTGGGGCTGTGGGTCTCTGGCCTTGGCAGGGGCACACGTTTCAGGGGCAGAATGGGGACTGAGACAGGGCAGCAGAAGGCAGTGGAGGCGGGGAACATCCAGCCTTGTCTGACTGGGCAGGCTCAGCGCAAGCTCAAACGGCGACACGAAAGCAGGACAGACAGTGGGTGTCTAGCCTGGGACAGAGGACAGTTGAGGCCTCTCCCTAGCTCCTGGCCCTGGAGAATATCCTTTGGGAGGCAAGGTAGGAGTCCAGGCAGCTGAGGCCCAGCTTCAAGGGTTGCAGTGAGGAACCCAGTGGGCCAAGGCCACAAGGAAGGGGCTCGCTGGCATTGGCCCTGATCCAAAGACCCAGGTGCCCTCCCACCTTCACCTAGACTCCCACCCACAGAGACCCCGAGCCACACAGTGCCTCCTGCTCACCTAGTGGGCTGGAGGGCAAGCAACAGCTCTTCTCTGTATTGTGGTGGGGCTCAGGAACAACCCAGCACCACTGGGTCTTGGTGGAAAGTGTCTAGGGAGAAGGCCTGGGCGGTACTTGGTGCTGATCCCCATTCCTAGCTCAGTCCCCACATCTGTCCCCTGCCTTCCAGCACACACACCTTTCAAGCAATGTCTAAGAGATTGAGAAGTAGAGAAGGAAAAAACAAAACCGAAAAACCCTCTTAACTACACCCTTGCAGGTTAGTACCAGCCTGGGCTGGCCAGGTGTGGGCAGGACTGGTCTGTTGACTGTACCCAACTCTTCCTGGGTGGGCAGAAGAGGGTCAGAAGGTTAACTATAACAAAATCCTTTTCCAGTAATGGGTCAGAGACTCCCCTGCAGAAGTCAGATGGGTAGAGGGGTAGGGGAGAGGTCTTTTGTCCTAACCAGTCTCCCAGTGTCCTCTAGGGCCTGCAGCCTCTACCCAACTTAGCAAACTCCATTATCCCTAGTTTACAAATCAGAGGACTTACGTCCCCTCTATGGGGGAGCTTTGGAGACCCCCCACCTGCCATCCCTGTTGATGCCTGCTCGACTTTCCCCCTGCCTCTGATTCTAGCAGAGGGGGAAAGAATGACCTCTGACCCGAGGGACATCGAGGCCCACCAGGGAATCCCGAACCTCCTCCCTGGACAGCCAGCACTTCAGACTCCAGGACAGAAGCTGGGAGCAGGGGGAGGGCGGGGTGGGTAGCAGCCGCCTCCTTGGGGCACTCTGAGTGGCAGGCAAGTGCCAGTGGCTGGTGAGGGCCACCCCACCTCAGCCAGGCCCTGCCCGTCCTTACCCACCACCCCAAACACACAGCTCCAGAGCTTAGGGTCAGGGGCCTACGGGATGGGGCTCCTGGGTTGGCCTAATCGAATAAGCCCTGCGGAGGCGGCGGGTAGCCGCGCCCTCCCGGCCCGCCTGCCCCGGCCGGCCCGGGCTCAAGTCTGCTTGGCCTGCAGCATCTCGATGAGCAGGTTGTTGCGGGGCATCTCATTGCCCAGGTGCTTATGGTACAGGTATTCCTTGGCCTGCATGCTCAGGGCCCGCACCTCCACCAGGCACAGCAGCAACTGCTGGAACTTGTCCCCGCAGTGTGGGTAGTGGCACAGGGTGTAGTCGAGCAGGGCAGCGTTGGCCTTCTCCTGAGCGTCCTTCACCAGGCTGTGGTTGTTCAGGAACTTCACATCTGCAAAGGGAGGAGCGCAGTCACCCTCCGGCCGTCCCCGCAAACACATCACTGGCACCAACACACCTTCCCTGTGACCCACCAAGTCATGCGCGTCAATGTGGCTGACCAACACCACCATCCTCATCAACCACCCAACTACATCCCTGTGTTTGTCACCAGTGTGGCCGATGCCACCATCAACAAGCCACAGTCACTGTCACCAACATCGCTGCCTCTGTCATTGCCCTGATGGTCAGGATGGATGTCGATCATCACCAAGACCTTCACAGATCGCTCCCGGGCATCCCTGGGAGTGTTATTTAAACCACTCCATTTCCTAACTATAAAATGAGGGTGACAATGGAACCTGCAAGACTTTGAGAATTTGAGGAGTTGACTTGGGGGAAATGCCTAGAACAGTCACTGGCACAAAGGTCACTGGGTGACCTCCTTATCATGGCCAGGGTCGGTACCATTACCATAACTGGCACCATCCCATGGTTAACATCATCATGTCACCTTCATCCCATTGCCATCAGCATCACCACACTGCCACTCACCACAGCAGTATTTATGGTGGCCAGGAGGTGGCCAGGATGCCGCATGCCAGCCTCACAGGCGAGTAGTATGGGGCACACAGAACCCAGAGCCCAGGGACCGATCTTTAAGAGCATGGAGAGGAAAACAAGGAATGGAGGGGAAGGTCCAGGGGGTCCAGAGGGTGAGGCTGTTTACATCAGTCAAAGATGGGGCTGGGGACGTGGCGCAGCGGTAGAGCACCTGCCCAGCACGCACGAGGCCCTGGTTTCCTTCCACAATAGACAAGAACGGGGACGAACAACATGATCTGCCCCAGACATGAAGGCTGTTTCCCGCGGAGCGAGAGGGACAGCATGTGGGGAGGTTCACTAGTGTATTCCTCCACCTGAGTCACAGGCATATGTCTCTGGAGTGAGGCAGATGAGGGTTCAAACCGAGCCACCATGTTGGAGCAGTGACCCTCCCTTGAAACGCCTTCCTCCTCTCTGCAGGAGCCGTGCCCTCCTTGCAGAGGGGTGGGGAAGGCCTGGGAAGGTGTCTTGTGCCCAGGTCCCTCGCCATGGCTCACAGGCCCCTCCACTCCTGGGTAGCATTTCCAGCTGAATTTGCCCTGTCCAGGGGTTCAAGGTCACCAGGAATCCCCGGGCTCAGTCCCCAGTCCTCAAATCCTAGCCTGGCCTCCCCTGGGATGTAGCTTCCAGTGGCTCAGAAAATGACCCTCCATCCACTTCCCCACCCATCACCCCAGCTCTGCTGCTGTGGGGGCGGCCAGCCAGGTGGCATGTGCAGCCCTGGGCCCTCTAATCCCTTTAACACCTGCCGCGCCAGGAGAGCTGGACGCTCCTGGCAACCCTGATCCTGGGCCGCCCCCGGTGCGCTTGCCAAGGCCTATGTTGTCCAAAGTTGGATTTAGGGAAACCTGAGCTGGGCCTGGGTCATATGGCAGGATCTGACAGGCCACCATCCTCCATCCCTACCCTGTCCCTCACCTTCCCTCACTAAGCAAGCCAGGGTTCTTTTCTCCCTCCATTCCCAGGACCACTGTTGGCCCACCAGGCACCTTTGTGTCAATTTTCTAATTGACAGAAATCTAGCTCCATCTCTATGGACAAGGGCCGACTTGTCCATAGAGATGGAGCTAGATTTCAGACCCCCAGTCCTACCCCGCCTCTGTGCCCTTGTGCAGTGAATGACCTGACCAGCTGTATAGAATAGCCTGCACCCTAACCTGGCTGCTCCAGGCCCATCCAAAGGTTATGAGAATTCACTCCGCTTAGCTGGCCTCCTGGAAGCAGGTGCGTTAGTTTCATCCCTGTCCTAAACCTCTTTCAATCCCAGTTCTGTCCCCATCTGCCTTCACTCCCACCATCCCCGCAGCTGGGCAAGTCTGACGCAGTCTTCTGCCAATTCACAGTAGTAGGCTGGGATTTCAGAGAAGGATAGGGACCAGCTCAAAGCCACACAGCACTGAAAACAGTAAAGGGGCCTAGACGAAAGAGCTGGGGCTGGGAGGACAGGCTAGCATGCTGCAGTGGGGATGGGTGGGAGGGGCCTGGGAGAACCAGGGCCTGGGCTTTACAGGGATTTACTGTTCTCGGAACACCAAGCCGGGGCGGACTGCAGGGGGTGGGTGCAGAACAAGGACAGGTTTCAGGGACAGCCCCTTGCAGCAGTTCTCTGGTCTCTTGGCTCTCAGGAGGCTGAGACCTCGTATCCCTATAAGGTCAGCTACAAGGGATAGGGGGCACCGTCCTTAATGGCTACAGTCCAAGAGTCTGGATCCCGTGTCCTAGGCACCCAGCCAACACCTTGCGCCCTGACACCTTGTGCCAACCTGGGTAATTCTCAGGGAAGGGCCCCCAAGACCAGAGCCTGCATCAAAACCCAGATCTCTGATTCTCGAGCCTCCTGCTGCGAGGGCTGGGTCTGCCTGGACACTGGGTCCTGGGGAACTGGACATACCTCATGTTCCATCCAACTAGGACTCCATCCAAGCCCTGCTGTCCGGGGTCCCAGGTTTCCCCCAAAGAGGCTGCTCTGGGCTCGAGGACTTGGATAGTCAGCCACCTCTCCAGCTCCCCAGAGTCCCCAGTTTCTAAAAAGTTTGTGGTGAAGACTCCAAGGTACCTGACAGAATCAATGTCCCATGATGAGCTCTCACCCTTCTAACCTTAGACACAAGCAGGAGACAAACAAGTCTGCAGATGTCTCCTTAATGTGTCAGGGGTTCAAAGCCTAGCCCTACAGCCAGCTGGGTGACCTCGGACAAGTCACTTCCCCTCTCTGAACCTCAGTTTCTTGTCATCTGCAAAATGGGGGCAAACTGATCTCTGCCCCATGGAGCTCCAAGACCAGACCTCTCCTGTGTGTCTGGCCCAGGGCCCTGAGCCTGACAGAGTGGAAGTGACCAAGCTGGAGACAGACCTATGTCCCTATCCCTGTCCTGCTCAGCTCCCAGCAGTCCTGGAGGTGGGAGGTGGGAGGCAGGAGGGGGCTGGGAGATGGCACCCCCACCTCAGAGAGCAGCCTGCTAGCTCTGCGAGCTCTGGGGCCCCCAGGAGCTCAGAAAAGCCCCCTTTTCACGGTTTAATTGAATATTTGAATAATCCTTTCATTCCAGTGAGGCATAAAGAATGTTGTCCCAATAGCGGTGACTCAGGCAGGCGCCCCCGCGCACAATGGCCCCTCGAGTGGGGCTGCTATTCAGGCCGCCTTTTGTTGGCTCGGAGCAGTGGGTAAATTGCAAACGCTTAAGGGAATGCTGCTGCCGCCGCCTCAATGGAAATCAGGAAATCGAATGTTAGGTCAATCCATTAAGCTTCGATTAAGTCCTCGGCAGAACAATGCCCGCCGGGCCCATCTTCATAAACACTGCGATTGCCAGGAGAGAGGCACTAATTTTAATTAAACCTCCTTACCTGCCTCTGAGCCCGCCCGAGACAGCTATTTAGACGCCAAATGGCACCCTTCTGCAGAGGCAGGCGAGAAGGAGGCGCTGAGGACCGGCGGTGGGGTGGGTGGGTGGGGGGACAGGCCTCACAAGAGTTCAGGCTACCCAGCCCAGGGAGGTGCTGCGGAGGGTGACGCCCTGCATGCCAGCTGGGAGCCTCCAGAAAAGTGACAGTCCCTCTCTGGCTCCCTTGTGCCCAGCTCTGGTCTGGATGGAATCATAGTCGGAGCCCTCTGTTTCTGACTCGGGGGTCCAAGTCGCCCCAGCCCCAGATCTCACCTCTTGCAGGGATCTGGGCTGCCCACCTGCCATCATTTCCCCTGCCGCTGTTGAAGGGCCTTGGTGAAATGCAAGTTTGATCCTGTTGGTTCCAGGTACAACCCAACCCAAGGGACCTGGCCTGATGCTCAAGGGCTCAGCCCCTGTCCTCTGCCACAGCCTCTTCGCCCCTGCCCAGTCCCCTAGGCCACAGGGTCCCTTCAGGATTCCTCGTAACCCTCGGGGGGCTGTTCCTTCGGTGGGGGATCCTCCAGCTCTGCTTGCTTCCTTTCACCCATCACACTCCTACTCCTACTGCAAGGCCCTGTCTCAGACACGCCTCACCTGAGAAGGCTTCAGTGATGTCCCCTCTCCGTGGAGTCAGCCCAACCCCCATCTTACAGGGCAGCTCCAGTTCTTTCTCCACCTGGAACCTGCTCCCCAAAGGCCTCGTGGCCCCATGGTCTCCTCCCACTGCTCTCCTGCAGGTCCAGGTCCCAGAGCCACCTCCTTCCCCCTCACAGCCCGCTCCTAAGCCTGGTCCTCGTCTCTGTGCCCAAAGAGAGTAAGGCCCTGAGCCAGACACTCAGATGAAGATGAAGCCTGTGACCTGGGCATCCGCTTCATTCATTTGCTCATTAACTAAGAAGGAGGATTATGAAAGCAATCCGAGTCGCACAGTGGTCGCGCCTGTCATCCCAGCCTTGTGGGAGGCTGAGGCACAAGTTTTGAGGCCACCCGCAACAATTTAGTGAGACCCTGTCTCAAAATAAGAAATAAAAAGAACTTGGGACAAAGCTCAGTTGTAAAGCACCCCTGGATTCAACCCCCAGTACCATTAACATAAAATAAAATAAAAATAAAACACAATACCGGCCCATGCCTCTGAGGGGCAGGCCCAGTGCCGAGCACCTGGGGAAATTCTCTCATTACTTCCTGCAGCAAGACAGGGTAGTCGTGGTGGGCATTTCACAGATGAGGAAATAGAGGCTCAGAGCAGAGAATGACTTGATCAAGGGCATAAAACTGGAGGGACCTGAGTGAAACCCAGCTGGTCCATCTCTACCACCCTCCCCTGACCACTGCTCACGGACACACACGCATGCTCATGGTCGCAGGTCCCCGGCCCCTCCAGCCTCCTGCTGAGCCCTGCAGTCTCGCCCAGTCCCTCAGGCCTCAGCCGCCTCTGGAGCACAGGATGGAGGAGGTGCCCGGCACTCCCAATTCTGGGCACACACCTACCTGGGCCCCAGAACAGAGGGGTGGGCTCTGCCTTGCTCTCTTCCCTACACCCCTACACCTCTGGCTCTCTTCCCTACGCCCCATGGAAGGAGGAGTTCTGGATTTACCACAGGGGGTGGCCAGAGCTGTGCTGGGCCAGGCAGCCACCCAGGGCTTTGGTGGGAAGCAGGGTTGGGGGCTCTTTAGGGGACACTCAAGGAAAGATGGAGTCCCAAGGAGACTGGTGCAAGAGCCCCCTCTTCTAGCCTTCCCCCAGAACTCTCTCCATGGCCCCTTGATGACAGTCGGGTCAAGAACTATCATCCAGACCATCACAGATTCTGGGCTACAATCCTATGTGCCAAGCATGACGTACCCCTCCTAGTCCCTCATGTTCCAAATCTCCCTTCACTCCCCAATCTCACACCAGCTCCTCATGCCACACAACACCTGAAAACCCAGCCACACATCCAAGCGTGCAGTCTTCATGTGCAAACTCACACCCACGCACAGCACTCCTGCCTGTCCGCAGCCCACATTACACGGACCCCCAGCCACGCACATCTGTGCCAGTTTTCAGAGCCCTGAAGCAGCTCTCAATGACAAGGTGGTGAGGAGGACGCCCCTGGAGGCAGAGGTAAGACAGAGTGTCCCCCCAGCTGGAGCCAGCCTGGCTAGGCCCCTAAAGCTCCTCTAAGGACTTCCCGATGTGGCTCCTAGGTGGCTGTGGCTGCTCAGGCTTCTGCCCTTCCCAGTGACTGTCCTGTAACCACCCTGCAGAGTCCTGGCTGGCTGCTTGAGAGGGAACCTCTCAGAGAAACCCACCAGCCGCCAGCCTGTAGGGACGGTCAGGAGACCCAGCCCACTGCCCCCCACGCCTTCCCACCTCCTAATGGACTCCCTTCTTCTCCTCTGCTCTCCAGCACCTCCCACTCCCCCTCCCTCAGGTATGTTATAGACACCCTGTGGCTCTACGGCCAACTTCCCCAGTCAGCCCTCATCCCATGGCAGCTCCTCTGCTATGAGATCCATTACCCAAAGCATCCCCCAAGTCCCTGCTCAAATGTTTCTCTTGCAGGCATAGCCCTTGCTCCCATCTCCCTGTCCCAGCCCTAACTGCAGGGCTGCAGGGTTCTCCCGCTCAGGGGCTCCTGAGGCAAGGAACACCTCCATGCGCATGTCACTGGCTGCAGGGAAGGCTCTGGTGAGCTCTGGGAGCTGGGAGGCCACAGGGAGCTTGGAGACTGGAGCGGCCCAGTCTGGGCTGTGGTCAGAGGCGAGCTGGTGGGCTGGGCTTGCCCCACGGACCAGCTCCCCACTTTCCTCACCATCTGAGCGCTTGTCGCGATCTGCCTGGCTTCACATTTCACTGATCATACGAAGGTTTTTGGCTCTTTCCTAGAGAAGGCCAGTTCTGCTAAGCAGGGGCTTGGGGATCTTCTTGGCTCAATGTCCTAACCCTAGGCCTTGCGCAGGGCCAATGCTCAGCAAATGCTTGTAGAATGAAGGAATGAGTGGGAGGGGGGTCTGGGCCCCAGAGAGCTCAGAGGTAGAATGTGAGCCCCTGTGGACCAGGGAATTAAGGCCCCAGAATGGAAGCCGGGAGTAGAAGCCGGAACTCCCACAGCTTGTTTGCAGGTGGGGACGGACACACACCCAGGGCGGTCATCCAGGAGTCGCCACATTCTACAAAGGGTCCTTGTACCATGAAGGGCAAGAATTGGACACTGTCTTGACCTTTGACACTTTCACAGAGAGACAGGTCCAGCAGGGCAGTGCCCATTCCCAGCGCCAACCACTGGCCAGGTGCCCTATACTGAGTATAGGACCCCAAGACCCAATGGTGGCCTCTGTGGCTACAGCGGGGGCCCCTGGAGTTCCTCTGCCCACTCACCCCCCACCACCACCCTCCACGGCCAAAGCACCCTGCCACTCACCGAGGCTGAGGAGGATGAGGAACTTGAGGCACACAAACTCCTGGCGGTCCAGCTGCAGTGCATGCAGCTGTAGCACCAGCTCTTGCGCCCGCAGCACCAGGCCATGGAGCAGGGAGCCCGCCTGGGCAGCCACTGTGGTCAGCTCCACCTGGGGGGAGGAGTCGAGAGGGAAGGTCAGGGGCCCTTCAGAGGGGATGGGCCCAGGACAGCGGTTGTGGGGCCTGGGTCAAGCAGCCCTCCTGGGAACCCAGGAGCCCTCCCAGGCCCACCAATGTCAAGGACCCACCCTTCCCAGTTCTCCTCAACCTGCTGGGCCTGGAGTCGGGGCACCCATGGCCTGCATGCCTTTGATGGCAGCAGGGCAGACACCAGGAAGTGGGTGCCACAGGGGAACTAAAGGGTCCTTCATATACAAAGAGCCGCTGCTTGGCCCAGTGGTGCGAACGGATTCCGTGCTTCTGTCATAGGAAAGGGCAGTTCTGCCTGAAGCTGTGGACGCATGCACATGTCCACCCGCCTGCTCACACAAGCTCAGCTCACAGTCACACGCAGACACCTTCACAGGGCGGCCACCAGCTTCATGAAGTGGAGGCAACACTCACTTGCACACACACTCACACATGCACTTGGAGGGGCACTCACAGTAACTCACAGCTGCGTGTTTGAGCACACTCATGTGGTAAGAGGCAGAAACAGACGCCCACATGCTTCTGCATGGGATTTGCACAATTAAACACAGGAGGGTGCACACACATGCAGGACACTCTGTGACCACAGAGACTTTGGCCCACATACTCACACTCACGTCTCAAACTCCCTCCACCTGCACCCACAGGGGCCCCAAAGTTACCCCTTAGGACGGACATCCCTGTCCCCTCCCCCCCAGTGGCCTGAGACACCAGGGTGACAAGTGAAGATGAGGACAGAGGTCCTGAGGGGAGGGAGTGAGGAGCAGGACCTCAGTCTCTGTCCCACCTGTGTTACCCATTAGGCCACTGCTTAGCCCGTGTCCCCACCTGGGGAGTCCTCCTACCACCCAGCTGGACCCAGGGCATCAATCTCCTGTCGCCTCTCCCTCCTGCCCTCTCTTTCCCCTGCTCCTCCTGGGCTCTTCCTCCTCAGCCCCCCCACTCTGAGCCAGGTGGCTGCCCCCACCTCCTCCACCCTTTTCCCCCTCCCCTGCCTCCTGGGGTCAGCGTGTCCCCCCTCCCAAGGTTCCAGCTCTGTCTTCAGGAGCCTCCGAGCTCCACTTTCCACCCTCTTGTCCCATCTCCCTGATCTAAGCGGCCAGAGCCCGACTCTGGGCTCCCTGCGGCCTCTGGCCCACGTATTCACTCCATCCCTCATTCCTTTATTTGGGATCCGGAGTCTGCGAGGTCTCGCCCTCTTATGGCTGGCTCCCAGCAACCCCTCTAGCCTCATCTCTTACCTCCTCCCACCCTGAAGGCCCCCAACAGCACTTCTGGACCCCCTCTCAGATCCTGTGCCCTGCTGTCCCCCCACCTGTGTGGGAGTGGAGACAGACCCCCCCCCCATCGCCTCTCACTATTCAATCAATTCTGATTTTTTAAAAATTTATTCTTGAGAGACCCAGTGCCACTGTCCCTTCCTCCAAAGGCCTCCTCTGATCCTCCCACATCCTCTAATCTTGTCCCCCAGAGCAGGGCTCCCAGAGGCTGACTCCTTACAAGGCCAGGGACAGGGCTGGCCACAGAGAGGCCTGGCTAGGGGATGTCCCCCAAAACGAGGGAAAGGGATGGAATTCAGGGTGTCCAGAGCTCAGAATTCTGAAAGCAGGGTCCGTCACCTCCTGGCCAGTGACCAGCAGGATGCTGCCCTCCTTGCCGTATTGGACCTGGCGGTAGATGTGGTCGAACACCAGCAGCTCACTCCAGCAGTTCTGCAGCAGTGTCATCTGGTCAGCCACCTGCAAGGAAGAGCCGCGTGGATGTCTGGGGTCCTACTGGGGTCTAGTTAGGGACCTTCCTCTCACCCTTCTCCCCCAACTCTCAGTTCAGAGAATGATCTAGATGTGTGACCCGAAAAAGTGACCACCTCTCTGTGTCCTGCCTGGCCTTCCCTCTACTGCATCAAGTGTGGCCAAGGTCTAACAATGACAGGGTCCAAAAGAAATGCTTAGGGCTTGGTTGCGCCAGGCTTCAGGCCCCAGCCCTGCCTCTCACACATGGTAGGACCTGATGCAAGTTCCAGGACCTTTCTGTACTTTGGTTTTCTTTCTTTTTTGTTTTTCTGGGGACCAGGGATTAAACCCAGGGACACTTAACCATTGAACCACACCCTATCCCATTTTTTATATTTTATTTAGAGACAGGGTCTCGCTGAGTTGCTTAGGGCCTCCATAAATTGCTGAGGCTGACTTTGAACTCTCGATCCTCCTGTCTCAGCCTCCTGAGCCTCTGGGATTACAGGCATGTGCTTGGTTTTCTAATTTGTAAAGTGGTCAAGGTACTTAGAAGCTGGTCCGACACGTATTAAACACTCAGTAGATGTTAGGGACAAACGTCCCTGGAGACGCTCTGTGAAGACACCACTCATCTGAACAGTGTGTCCATATGGCCTGCTGTCAACTCTGGCAGCTACAACTGCTCTCAAAGAGCCAAGGGGAAGAAACAGAGGGCTTCTCCTGGGACTTTTGCAGAGCTTTCAAGCCCAGAAGAGGAAAAGTGTTGCCCAGGCCTGGGGACAGATCGGGGAGAGGGCAGGCAGACGGCAACATCTGCAGTAGGAACAGAAGATTCTGAACACCTAGGTGGCAACAGGCACTGAGTCCTCCTTGAGGAGGACAACCCAGGCTTTGGTCCCTCTCGGTATCCACAGCTCCCTCCTGGGACCATCTCTGTGGTGAACACAAGCCATGATGATTACCAGTCCCTGCGCTGGGGTCCTACGGCCCTGCGAGGTTGGTGCAGTTGCTACTAGCTTCATGGAGAGACCAAACAGCACAGTGACTTGCCCAAGGTCAGTAACTTGCCCAAGGTCACCCAGCTCTGTCTGGTTCCAGATCCATGCTCTTCACTACTGGAGTGGGACAAGACCTGACCCTGCTCCCTTGCCACCTATGGGTTCATGGTCTCTTGTCAACTTCTTACTTTCTCCATGAAGCCCTCCTCAATCCCTCCTCCCTTCCCAGTGCCCTCCCACCCTCTGGACATAGAATGTGCAACATCTTGTAGCTCATGCTCTGCCTTCCCTGATGCCATGAGGCGCCGGAAGGCAGGCCTGGTGTCCAGCTCAGCTCTGGGCCCCTCCAGGAGGCCTCAGGGAGCAGCTGATAGAACTCTGCCAGACACCTACCCCTCCCCCAAGGAGCCAGGGAGCCCTGGCAAACAATTCTCTCTTCTTGGGGTAGAAGTCCCTCCTCCCTCTGTCACCTCCTCTCCATCCCTGAGGCCTCTGTCCTCAGGCAAACAGGGGCAGAAAGGAGAAGGTAGAACAAGAGGAAAGTGAGGAACTGGACACACAAACGAGGTCTCTTCTCGCACCCCGCTCCCCAGTGCGAGAAGAGAAGAAAGGACCCTGTCTGCGCAGGTCTGTCCTGCTCTGGGCCACCGCCTCCCTTCCTCACCTCATCTCTGGGCCAAGCGCCCACTCTCTCCCTCCTCCCAGAGTTTCATCGCCATCAGAGCAGAGCCCTAGGTGACCTGGGATTGGCCCCACCAGCCATTAGATGGCAGGGGACACTTCTCCTTCCCTCTCCTCTGGAAGTGGTTGGCCTGTGGAGCCGGGTAGGAGCTTTGCCATCAGTTTCCAAGAAGAAAGCAAAGCTGAGGGAGGACTTACCATCAGGATCAATCGGCCCTGCCCCAGTGACATCCTGCCCATGTTGCAGAGAAACAAGCAGGCTTGCCCGAGGTGAAGCGTGGGCAGTGGCTCTGCCCAGTCGGCCCTACTGGGTCCATCTTCAGGGGCTCTGGGAACTTCTGCCTCAGGCCGAGGTGGGAGAAGTCTGCCCAGGGGTCACACTGGTGTCAGGCAAGGAGCTCTTGAGCCCACTGAGGGTGACCCAGATGGAGGCCATGCAGGGCTGTGCTCTGCCCCCACCCATTGTGAGACCCTAAGAGCAGACACCCTTGTGCCCAGATTGAATGAAGGGGGGGGCATGGAAGAGAAGAGATAAGGGGGGAATTAGAAGATAAGCAGGCCAAGCTCCAGGGAGAAAGCAAAGGGGTCACAGTGACCTGGCTGGCTCAGATCCGGGAGCAGACTCCAGACCTCAGACCCCAGGGTGGGGGCAGCCCTGCCGAGGGGCCCAGCTGGGAGACGGCAGAGATCAGCTCTCTGATGCCTGCACTCCATGCCCCTGCCCCACTATGTGTCCTCTCTCACCCTCCTTACTACTTTATGAAATGGGAGAAATAATCTTCCCCCTTCAGTTACAGAAAAACCTATGAACACAGCATGGGTCGCAAGGGGTTGTGTGAACCCACTGTCAACTCCCCCAAGGATGCCACTCAAGCTGGGCTCCCACTTACCCCTCGGCCAAGCATTTTCCTGCCAGACTTCCACTTCTTCACTCAGATGGACCAATGGACACATAAAGACACCCAACTCCCAAACGCTCCCCACACGATGAGCACACATAGGCACTCCTGCACACGGGCACACACACCTCTGTATTTAAAAGAAAACTAGCCGGGTGCGGTGGTGCACAGTCTGTAATCCCGGCAGCTCAGGAGGCTGAGGCAGGGGGATCACAAGTTCAAAGCCAGCCTGAGCAAAAGCGAGGTGCTAAGCAACTCAGTGAGATCCTGTCTCTAAATAAAATACAAAATAGGGTTGGGGATGTGGCCCAGTGGTCGGGTGCCCCTGAGTTCAACCCCTGGTACCCCAAAAACAAACAAATAAAAACTTGAGTGAAGCTCCATAAAAAACCAGGTGGCCAAGAGCCTCACTCAGTCAAGGAGGGCTGGTGTCCCCTTTCCAGAGGTTTCTTCCTAAACTCAAGGTCCCTCCTCCCCTACCCTCTAACCTCCCTTCCGCCCTCGGGACAAGGACATTTGCAGTCCCAGCCTCAGAGTCCCTTACCAGCCTAGCCCATCCGTGGGCTCACCAGCCACCCACCCCTCCTGCTCTGGGCAGCCACAAATCTTCCCAGAGCCTTGACACCTTGCAGCCTGCTCTGGAGAAGGGCTATTTATGGGTGCCGGCTGACCTCTCCCCCAGCGGGCCTCCCTCTAGAGCCCCCTGGGGTCTGATCGGTCTGGCAGCCGAAGGCCAGCAGGCTCGGTAATTCTCGGGTGGCTGACATGCCCCAGGCTGGCCTGGCGCGCTCCAGGCCGAGTGGTCGGTGGGCCATCGTTTGTCAGCCGAGGACTGACAAGAGTTACTGCAGCTTAAATGAAACCATATATCTGGGCAATTAAATCTGTTGCCAATGGGGGCCTCGGAGCTGGACGTCAAGGGTGAACTGGTGTCAAGATGGGTCATTAGGCATCGTGGCTCCCCTCCCTCTCCCGGGTTCCTGTTTTGCACCCTCGCAGCCTATCCCTCACGGTAACTGTCCAGGGCTGACTGCCTGGCTCCGGACCTGCCCCCACTGCACAGCGGGGAAGGGTGAGTCCCTGCTGCCTTGTAGGTAAGAAGCTGCTTTACAAGCCCTGAGCAAGTCTGTAAAGACAGTGCTCAGAGGAGCGTGCATTCAGCATCTCTTACTCTGCTCCTCCTGGCCAGGCCTGGAGACCACCTGTAAGTGGGCAGTCAATGGTGCAGGGCAGAGAGCAGAAAGGAAGGGCGCTGGGGAGCCCAACGACTGGGTTTCCTGAGCGCCAGGCCCTGTATTGAGGTCTTCACCTACCCGGGCTCACTAAACCCCTATAACCACCCTCCCGGGTAGCTATTACCCACATCCCTCTCCTTTATAAATGAGGAAACTGAGGCCCAGAGAAGCAGAACTGCACAGCTTGGTAGTAAGCCCCCCGAGCCTGGTCTCTGGTCTTCACTTCTGTGCCACTGTCAGCTCCAACATGCTATGCTTGGGCAAGGTGGGAAAATAGAGACAGAGGGACAGCCAATCAAGTGGGAAAGGGGACAGAGGAGGGAAAGTCCTAGAGGGCACCTGGGATCGTACATACCTGGGCCCCCAGCATCCCTGATGGTTCAGCTAAGACCCCAGGCTTTCCCCTGAGAAGCTGATTGGTCATCTGCATGGAGTTTTGGCTCTGGGTAGGAGCCCCTCCCTGGATGTGGGGCCCCAGCCAGTCCTGGCTGTCCATCATCTGCTGCCCAAGGGCCCACTCCTGGGTCGGGCTCTGCCGATGCTGCCAGCCCACTTCATGGGGTCACCTGGAATGCCCGGATGTCCTCACACTTTTATGGACTTTCCCCTGGGCTATTCCCATTTCTTGAACATCCTTAGCATTCTCTGACTTCTTTCTGGAAACCTCTGACTTCCTCAGATGTAGCCATCTTCTCTCTCACTAGACTTCTCAGTCCCTTCCCATCACTCTCAGAGCCCTGGGCACTCTGGGCACCCTGTATTGGCATTATCTATGTGCACTTCTGTCTCTTCCTCTAGCCTGGCAACTTTCTGGGTCCAATTCATTTCAATGTCCCCAACATCCATGATGCCCCAAAGCCATCCCTGGATGGCTCCGTTCCAGAGCCCCTCTTCTGTCTGCTGAGATGTGTTGAATGGTGAATCAAAGGGATACTAGGGCGATTCAGCACTCTTCTGCTTTTCTGCCCACTCACCCCTCGGTTCCACAAACAGACACCACCCAGGGCCCACCGGAGCAGTGGGAAAGAATTTGATGTGGCAAACTAGACGTGCTCCAAGGGCTGAGCTAGTGCTTATCTGCAAGGCTCCTTTACAGAGGTGATGACTGTGGGCCATATTCCTGGGCTCAATACAGAGATTCTGGGAAGGGGAAGCAGGAAGATTTGGGCCATAGAGAAGCCAGAGCAGGAAAAAAACACTCAGCAAAGCTGGGACAAAGGCCCTTCCCATCCTGCGTGAAGCCCCGGGAGAGTAGGAAAGCGGCCAGAGGAAGTGCCCTGCCCCTGGATCCAGGCTGGGAATGCTCCGCTGCAACTCCCTCTGCACAGGGGCTTATGGGAAGTCTGCAGGGGAAGCCAGCAACCAACTCCAGAGTCCTGGGTCCTCATCCCCCAGGGCCTCCAGCCAGGAGCAGAAAGCAGGTGGGAGTATCCCTGCATAAGGTCAGCCCAGAGAGGGCCAGTAGAGGGGACTGGTGAAAAGCCCATCCCATGGTAGACCCACTGCATGTCCCAGACCTTGGCCATGACAGGCCCTCCACAGTAGAAGCAGGAATCACCACCACAAATTCTTGACTCCCAGATCCCCCTAGGTCCCTAATGCCCTGATGCTCCAGAGGCTCTGAGTCCCCATGCCCCACCTTATTCCCATTCCTTGCCAGCCAGGGCAGGCAATGCCCCCAGCCCATCCGGCCACATCTCCTGGAGGAAGCCCAGGCCTGAGTGGCGTCAGCACTGACAATGCTGCTCAAGGCTGCAGTGGCCCCAGCAGGGAGGGCAAAGGCTCTGCTGTTTATAACCAACCTCAGAACAGCTAGGGGGCTGACTTGGGAAGGCTGTACCCAGACCAGGGAGAAAGGGACCTTGGCCAGGGTTTCAGGGTCTCTGGGGAAGCCTCAGAGAGAGCCAGGGCATTGGAGGGGCAATTCCCAAGCCTCAGGCCATTCACACCCCTAGGCAAAGTGACTGGGAAGTTCTTCCCTATACCTGGCCTCAGTTTTCCTGCTGCCTTTCTGTTTACTTTAGCTTAGGTACCTTAACACCTGGGGGAAAGAAGCCCTTGAGGTAAAAGAAAGCTGCTTCATCTGGCAAGATCACTGACAGGCCCTGGGATCCCCCACCCAGTTCCTTCTGTAGGCATACAAACACACAGACACACAGAAACACGGAACCAACCATCGTAAGTAAGAGGTACAGGGGCAATGAGACCTTTCATCTTAGGTGGAGGAGGGCCCACAGGTATCCAAACCTCAGACACTAAGAGCCCATCCATGGCATATGCAACTAGTGGGGATTGGTAGCCTCCCTGAATGGGATGACAGGATGGGCTGGACCCCCTCCTGGCATTGGCCTGGGGGACATAAGAAGACCCAGTTAGTCTTTTGAGGGAGTCCAAGGCCTCAGAGAAAGCAGGAAATGCCTCCAGAAAACCCAGACTGGGAGAGAAACAGCCTCAGACTGAAGAGGCTGGAAAAACACAGAGGAGCAGAGAAACCACAGGCCTGGGGGGTGCAGGGGGACATTAGGATGAGACAGAGACTATGAGAGACAGAGACTTAGAAAACAAGGCCAGGGAGGGGAGGGAGTGAGCAGGAGTGAGGGACACTCAGGAGGATGTGGTAGACCAAAAATGCTCCTTAATGTCCCCAGGGGAACCTCCATGTCCTAACACTGCCTAAAACCAGTGGGCAGGATGGACCACTCAGGAGGCCACCAGGACAGAGGTCCAGGCAGCCTGGAGGCCACACCAGAGCCAGGACCAGCGGCGGAGGAGGCACTCACCTCCAGCTCCTTGAACACCATACACCTGCGAGCCCAGTCCACGATGGAGATGAAGGTCTGGTCAGCCATCCTGCACAGGAGGCCGAAGGGTGCTGGCTGGTCGGGGCGGCCTTTGGCAGGTTCCTGCAGGCAGCCTACGATGCGTGCCCGCACCTGGTCCTCATCAGGCTCCAGCTGCAGCAGCTGTAGGATGAGCTCGGGCACACTGGGCCCTCCAGAGAAGGGCTCTGGGTAGCCATAGGGCGGCCCAGGCTGCGGGGGACTGGCATAGGGTTCTGGATACTCAGACTTAATGGCACGGCCAGGGAAGGCAGGGTAGAGGTAGCCGGCCAGTGGCCCATGGGTGCTGGGCATGGCCATGGGCAGTGCTGAGGCTCCAAAGTCGCCCAGTGGCCCAGTGGGTGGACCAGAGGCCAGGCCCTTAGGCTCAGGCACGTGCAGGCTGGGGGTCAGCATGTAGTCCGGTGGGGGAGGGGGTGGCGGAGGCACCCCCATTGGGGGGCCTGTCTCCAGCTTGAAGCCATTGGCCCGAATCTGTGCCTTCTTCTGCTGCTTCAGGGCCCGGTCCCGCTTGTACATGGGCCCAAACTTGTTCCGGCCGCCCCGCATACGGTCAGCGCGCACGGCTGTGGGCAGGGGCAGAGGGTCAGGCTCCCCCCTCCATGCCACCTTCTATGCTGCTCTATCCTGAGCTAACTGTGCCCTTCCCCTGCTCAACAGCCTTTCATGACTTCCACAGGGGAAGACAATCATCTTAGCCTGGCATTCAAGGTCCTGCTCAATTTTCCAGGTCATCCCTCAGGGGATCAAGTGTCCCTTCCACTCCACCTTACTCACCTCAGCAGACACTGCTACTCGGCTTGACACTTTTCCCTCAGCCTCCACCCCGCCCCCCATCTTTAATAGTCCTTCTTCCTCAAAGCCTTTTCTTTCTCTTGTGCTTGCCAAACACCCAGCCTCAATGCCACCACCTCCAAGAAGTGTTCCTATATTTGCCCAGGCAGACTCTCCTGTCCTTGGCCCTGTGGCCCACTCTTATCATGCTGAGTGTGCCATGCCATATGCCCTACTCTGGGAGGTCCTGGGGACTCAGCTCTTAGTCTCTTGGTTCAGATGCCCAGTGCTGGGCCTGACAGGGAGACAGTGATAGGAAGGGGACCCTGTGAGTCTTCCTCACAGCTGGAAACTCAGTACGGACTAAATCCCAGACTCTTTGAACCCCACTGGCAAGATGACTTGGGTTTCCCCTACTGACTTTGAATGTGAAGGTGGGTTTAGGGGTTGCTGGCTCTGTGATGGAGGCAGGGACCTCTCTTGCTAACCAGATGTTCCTCTGTCTAGCCAAGAATGTGTCACCAGCCAGACTCAACAGGTGCATCTCTGCAGCTGGAGTGTGGCCCCCGCCCCTGCTTAGACAGGACCCCAGCCCAGGCTCTAGGAGAAGGAAGAGATCAGGAGACAGAGGGCAGTGCTCAGCAGGGATGGAACCTCCCAGACATACATCTTCCTGCCATACTTTCAGGCAGGCTGCCCTGTGGGCTTCGGCTGCCAGCAACAACCAGCTATTCTGGCCCCTCAGGACTTGGAGCTAGGGATGTAGGCTCTTGGGACAGGGCAGGGTATTCCCTCCCCCTGCCCCCCCCCCAGCTAGGAGCTGTAGGACATGTGGTCTGCAGCTCTCAGAGCCTCTGGGGGTGGGGGCTTCTCCTTGTTCAGAAACTTCAGCCAACAGCTGCTGGCTGGGCTCATAGCCCAGCTGGGGCCATGGGGTGGAAGCTACTCGTGTCCACCCTTGGGTCTCTCCTTCTGGGACATCTTTCTTCCTCTCTGGACTGCAATGGGGGTAGAGGTGGGGGCAGAAGAGTCCTACGTCCTCTGGAGAAATTGTTACCCATTCCTCAGCCCTCTCAGAGCTGGCTAGGAACAAGATAGGAAGGAATCTCACCCGCTGGAGTGAAAAAACCCAGTGATCCCTGGGTGGTGGTGGATAAATAAAAGGAGAAGGCATAAGAATAAAATAACAATAGTAATAATAGCTAACCTGTGAGTGTTTACTGTGTACCAGGCACCTTAGACTTTCCATAACTTCTCTCAAACCTCACACTAACTCAGGGAGGGAGGGAGGCACTACTATTTTAAAGTTGGGGAATCTGTAGATCATAGAAGTTAAGGAATTTAACCCAGTGCCTGTAAGTGGTGTCACTGGGACTCGAACCTGACAAGGGCATTGAAAGCGTTGACTCTAGCTGGGGTGGGGGCTGGAGCTTCTTCAGGGGGAGAAGCACTGCTGGGGCTCTGTCTGTGTTGGCTGGGCTGCCGAAAGGGCGTCTCCCTGGAGTTGAGTTTAAGGCAACCCTGGCTGGTTCTGCCTGAACTCCCTCCCCCAGGACTTAAGCCCAACCCCCGCCTGTCCCCTCACTCCCTTGAAGAGACCAGGCCCTAAGTCAGGCTAGGGGCCAATAGCCTGGCCCCTAAAACTTCGAGAAGGCCAGTGATGTCCTCTCTTCAGCTACCTGTCCCAGCCCCACCCTCTGCTCCCTGGGGCGGTCAGAAGTCAGGGGTCGGAGTCCCGCGGGGCGCGCACCTTCCAGGCGCATCCCCACCGTCAGGCACTTCTGGAAGCGGCAGAAGGGACAGCGCTTGCGCTGCGTCTTGTCGATCTTGCAGCTCTGGCTCTCGGTGCACGTGTAGTGCTTGTTGTTCTGCACAGTGCGCTTGAAGAAGCCCTGAAAGAGCGGGGAGTCAGCGTGGGAGCGATGGACCCTCGGCCCAGAGCGCGCGCCGGCCTCCGCCGCGCCCTACACACCCTTGCCGCCCGCCTGCAGACTCACCGCTCACGCGCTCACCTTGCAGCTCTCGCACGTGAGCAGCCCGTAGTGGTATCCGGACACCTTGTCCCCACACACTGGGCACAGCTCATCCAGGTCCTCGTCGTACGAATAGTCCATGCCCGCGGCGTCCGCCTGAGGAGAGAGGAGAGGGTCACCACGGGCCGACGGCAAGGGGCTTGCGGCTGGTCTGGCCAGGCGGATCTCGCACCCCGCGGCGGCCGCACCCACAGCGCCCGCTGCGGTAGCCCTGGCGGCGTCCAGGTGAAGGGGGCGGCGGCAGGACCCACTGCAGCGCTCAGGTGGTCGCGCAGCATGGGCCCAGCCCGAGTGTGGGTCCCGCGCTCCCGCCGCGCGGCTCCTCCCGCGCCGCCGCTGCGGCGCCCGATCCCGGACCCTCGGATTCGATGCGCTTCGATCCGGATTCGTTTGTCTGAGAACAAAACCCCGATTCTGAGAAAAGGAGACAGGCTCCGGCGCGGGTGAAACAGGAGCCAGGGAGCCCGGGCAGAGTGGGGCGAGCGGCCCAGGTGTGCTGGGAACCCGACAGAGACGAAGGAGGCAGAGACAGTCTGGGAGAGACAGAGAGACCCGCCGGAACGAGCGCGATACCCCGACCGACGCTGCTCACGTAGAGAGAACCCGGGCGACGGGGACACACCGATGCCGAGTCAGGAAAAAAACCTAGGGAGACGAGATAGATAGATGATAGATGGATGGAAGGATGGATGGATGGATAACGAAAGAGACCGAATCACAGACACCGAGAGAGAGAGGCCCAGAGACAACCCGGGAGAAACACATGCACAGTCGGAGAGACAGTGATAGACAAGAGACAGACCGAGAGACGAGAGACACCGGGGGAGACGGGGCAGAGAGAGTGACAGAGACGCGGAGAGAAAACCTGGGGAGACGGAGGCGCCCAGCAAGAGGGTCGGGGACTTGGAGACGCGCCGGAACCCGGAGCCGAGCTCCGAGGCGTGCCCCGCAGAGTCGCACCGCCAGGGGCCCGCGTCCAGAGGTGCGGAAAACCAGGGCGCCAGGGACGGAGAGCCCGAAAGCGCTGAGCTGCCCGGGACTGCGGGCCAGGGGAGACAAAGCCCGTGGCAGCGACGGCAACCAGAGGCGCGGCTTGCGCGGCCGAGACCGAGTCGTCGGACGGAGAGACGGCGAAGAGGGCGCGGCGGAGACCGCCGGCGCCGGGCGCGGAGACCTCGGGCGGAGGTCCCGTAGGCTCCGGGAGGCCGGGCCGGAGATGGGGGCAACCTCGGGCGGAGAGTCAGAGTCCCAAAGAGGGAGCGCGAAGGCGGCCGGCGCCCACCTCGCGGCTCCTGCGAGCAGCGCTCCGCGTCCAGCCGGTGCGGAGACCCGCACCTCCCGGCCGCGCCGCCGCCGGCGATGAGCCGCACCCGGGCGCAGCGCCGCCCGCCCGCGATGACGGCCGCTGGGGCCGGGGGCGGGGAGGCGGGGGCGCGGGGCTGGCTGCGCTGGGCCTCGGCGCTCCCCCCACCGCCTCCCCGCCCCCGCCGCCTCCGGGGCCGCTCGAGGCGCACCTGGGACCCGGGCCCCTCTGCCGCCACTGCGCGCTGCGCGAACCCGCCGCGCTGGGCCAGGGGCCGGGCGCTCTATATGGGCGCGTGCGGTATCCGGGGGCGGAGGCCCGGCGCGCGTCCTCCCCCCAGCCCGGCCTGCGCCCTGCCCTCCCCCCAGCTTGCTCGCGGCTTCACCCTCATCCTCTCGGGCCCCCCATCCCCAGCCAGGCCCCCCAGAAGCTCCCGAGCTACAAGAGAACGGCGGAGCCCCAGCGCCCCAGAATCCAGACAGGTGTCGAGCGCGGCGGTGGGAGGAGGCGAGCTCCTGTTTGCAAGTCCAGCTTAGTCGTGGCCAGGGCCAAGCTGGGTTCGCTGGTGGTTCTGCAGCTTGGAAGTGGGTAAGGGCGAGCGTGTGGGCCTGTGGCCAAGGCATTAGTTCAAGGCTAAAAACCTTCTGGTGTTTGCCCTGCCACATTTCCTCACTTGGGCGGTAAGTAACCTTCTTCAGTCCTCAGTTTCCTCATCTGTGAAGTGGGATGACGACGGGTCTTCCTGGAGGGTGGTTGTAAGGATGAACCGAAATGCAGCAGCGAAGCACAAGCCCGGCATGGCGGTGTGTCGCTACAACGCCCAGCGGGAGACCTGGGGCAATCCCCAGACCTGGGGCAATCCCCTTCTCTGTGAACCTCAGTTTGCCGGCAGGAAATGGGAATCTTGGGAATGCACCTCTGCGAGATTCCAAGGTCTGGTGAGCACTCAGAGCCTCCAAGGGCGCGGGGGCTGGGAGAGCGGAGCTGGAGGTGGGCGACAGGCACCCCCACACCCCTCGGAGCTCTAGCCCAGGCAGAGGGCGGAGGAAGAGAGCTCGTAGAAGCCTGGGGGACAAAGGGAGCCCTGGCCGGGATGGGCAGAGCAATTGCTCACGGTTGGGGAACGTCCACGGGGCCACTCCCGTTATCTGGTGAAGAAACTGAAGCAGGAGGGAGAAAGAGGCCTGCAGGAAGCCTGCCCCTGGGGTCTGAGGCTGGGGACCCTGAGGCCAGAAAGCTGCAGCTTCAAGCGAGGAATACCGCAATTTGCATTGGCAGAGATGCTACCGACCAAAAAGTTTCAGGGCCACTACGGAGGCCTCAGGTTCCTGCAGGAGCTGGCGCCATGGTCCTGAGAGCCTAGGCCTGAAACCCACGCAGACCACCCATCGCCTGGCTCACCCCGTAGAGTGAGGAGCAGAGTCTGCGGTCGGCTTGCCAGCAAGTCACTTCATTCATCTGAGCCTCAGTTTCTCCTTATGTAGTAAGGAAAGCCCGGCCCTCCAGATGGAGTGCTGTAGTTTCCATTAGATTCCATGGACATATCTTGGTGCGGAGGGAGGAGAGAGAGCCAGAGAGGAGTTAGTGGTAGATCCCCACCCTGAGCCCCTGAGAAACTGCAGTCTGTGTCGGGCCTGGAGGCCGGAGGTGGGGGTTGGGGGGGCTTTTCTGCCTCTGAACAACCTCCACTCAAAGAGGAGCCCTCTGCCCTCTGGCAGTGGAACTCGGCAGCACCCACCAGGCTGCAGGGAGTGGAGGGGAGTGGGGGATGGGCTCCTCAGGGGTAGTGGGCTTCTCTCCGGTAGAGCCCACCTGGGCTGTTGAGGAAGGCCCAGCAGCATAGTGCAGTCTGGGCTGGGGGCCGGTGGGGTGGGAGGCTGGGCTCTGAGCCAGCCCTCCCCTTCGGCCTCCATCTCAGCCCCCCTCCCCCTGGGCTCTACTACCTCAGGCTGGGAGCCGGTGGCTCACTGCACCCACCCTGCCCCTGCCCCATGTAGGAACTCACAGCCTGTTACCCACCTACCCAGGGAAGCAAAGCAGACCCTGTGCCAGCCACAGAACCTGGACTGACAAATAAACACTGGAGACAGACTCACACATACACAGAGGCTCAGAGACCTCCATAGGGACCACACAGATGCCCAGACAGGAGACCCAGAGACCCAAGACAGGCCCAGAGACCTCACAAGACTCTCAGACTGCTAGGCTCCCACCAACACACCGATGTGAACACCCGGTCAACACTAGATAGCGGGACACCCACAGACCCCACAGCGCTTGTCGCCATAGGCCTGGCTCCTCCCATCAGCGGCCCAGGGAAGAAGAGAGGGTATCTTACTGAGGAGGGGAGTCTAGAGAGACCTCTAGCCCCTTCCCCACCCAGAGAAGTGAGCACTGGTCACTCCACAGAGCAAGTTGTGGCCGGCCTGGGCCACAGGGAGGCACTGAGGAGGGAGGCTGGCCATTAGAGGCCTGGGCCCAGGCCCTCACTTACGGAGCGGAAGAAGAGTTCTGAAGCCGGATGAGGGTGGACAGTGGGCACCAGGGTCGGGGGAGGCTCTGGAAGCCCAGGTGAGGCAGTGGTGACGGTGGGCACGCAGGAACTCCTTCACACCACTGCGGGCGGCGGGCGGTCGGCAAGCTGGCCCTGTCCGTTCGTCCTCCTCCTCCTCCCCGCCCTGGGGGGGGCCACCAGAGGCCCAATTGGTCTCTGCCCCCACGTGACTCTGCAGGCCTCCTTTCTCCTCCTTTGTTGGTGTTTCTCTTCATTTAGGTCTATTTTTTTCTCTTCTCCTAAAAGAAAAAAAATACCCCTATCTATCTGGGGGCCGCGGGTGGGGGTGGAGGCCAAGGTACTCTAGAGGCCTTGGCCAGCTGGCTGTTCCAGGCCGCTGTGGGAGCCCAGAGGCAGGGACCCCACGTAAGCGGGTAGGCAGCCCGCTTGTTAGTGACTGGGTGGGAGTGGGATCTGATTTATGAGCTCCTTCCCCACCCTGCCTGCAGCCTGGCCTCTCTCCCCTAGAATGGCTTCCTCTCTGGGTCCTGGCCTGGCGCGGTCCAGCTTGGTCCAGACATGGGAGCAGAGTCAGCATGGGCCAGTGTCAGGTAGGGGCATGGACGACTTGACCAGGTAGATAGACAAGATAGACCAGGTGGGCAGCAGCTCCGGTCTGGTCTTTACTCTTCTAGAAGATGGAGGAAGGAAGACGGGGCTGGAAGGCAAGCAGAGGAGCTGACTGAACACCTTTCAGTTTGATGTCACCCCTAAATGTTCTCATCTACTGTGAGCCACAGGTATTCCCCATCAAAAGCTGGGGAGACTGAGGTGGGGCTGAGACTGCTTTTGGGGGCAAGTAATTGGCTCCAGTGACCCTGGGATGGTCTGGTTTGATAACTAGGCTAGAACAGGGCAGAGTAGGGGGAAGGCTAGGCCTTCCTGGCAGTCTCTTGGCCCAGGCAGGTCCTGCACTGTCCTGGTCCTGTCAGGCCCAGATTGCTGGGCCCTGCACCTGTCCCAGATATGACACGTTCTTCTGTGCATTCCTCCTTCATCTCAGGATGACGGCATGCTCCAGGGGCCAGGCATTTTTGCAGGCACAGGTCACAGTTAAGAACAGGGACGAAGCCTCCATCCCAGAGGATTTACCTTCCAGCCACTGTTCCGGTGGGTGGGGAGGGGCGCAGGGCACCTCAGGGCAATCACGGCTGGGAACTCCCTCCATGCCCCTTCCATCTTCATTTGAAGAAATGGGCAAATCATGCCAGGTACCTCTCTTACCTGGCTTGGGATGAGGGGGATTTTTCTGGAGCCAACTATATTTAAAACTGAGTTTGTCTTTTCCTTATTATGCCTGTCATTAAAAAAAATTTGTGAACACATAATTTTAATGACAGTCATAACTTATTCTGAGTATATATATTCTAATTCTACCTACATCATAACTGATTCCTTAACATGCATGACCACATGTCTTTTTTACCATAAATGTTCTTACAGGAGATACTTCCCTTGCCTATGTCTGGAACCTAAAACTAATCCTCCATTTTACTTTATTTCATTTCATTTTATTCCTAATTTTATTTTTAATTTTTTTCCTATTTCAATGCAATAATTTTGTTTTTTTGTTTTGTTTTTTTGGTACTAGGGATTGAATTTAGGGCCACTCAACCACCAAGCCACATCCCCAGCCCTATTTTGCATTTTATTTAGAGACAGGATCTCACTGAGTTGCTTAGTGATTTTTCTGCCTCCACCTCCCAATTGGGGATTATGCGCGTGTAATCTCAGGGGCTCCCTCCCCCTCCTCCTCCTCCTCCTCCTCCTCCTCCTCCTCCTCCTTTTTAGTACCAGGGATTGAACCCAGGGGCACTTTATCAGGGAGCCACATCCCCAGCCCTTTTTATTTTATTTTTTTTTTTTAATTTTGAGACAGGGTCTCACTAGGTTGTTTATATCCTCACTAAATTGCTGATACTGGCTTTGAACCTGCAATCCTCCTGCCTCAGCCTCCAGAACTGTTGTGATCACAGGTGTGCACTACTGTTCCCAGCCCTGCCTTCTTGAACAGGACAAATGGGGTCTTTTAATGCTGGGATAATATGGAAAGAACCAGCCTTGCTTTGCCATCGTGTCGTGTCGTGGTGAGTCCTTGAGCTCCAAGAAGGGGAATTGGTAGCAAACTCTGGATTAAATCCCAGTTCTGTCTCTTTCTGGCTGTGTAACCTGGGACCAGTCATCTCCTTTCTGTGCCTCATGTGTTCCTTGCACAATGGGGACAAAATGAGACAGCATGTGTAACATACTCAGTGGCTGCCTGCTCTGTCATGTGTGCTCAGTAAATTCCAGAAAAACACAAACAAACAACTAGCTGAAGGCCTGGCTGCTCTGCCCTTAGAGGCCTTTTCTGTGTTGAGTCTGTCATTGCAACATCCCCACAAACATCGCTTGCCCTTCTGATGGGTTG